TTTTTTTTATACTCTGAAATGTAAACTTATCAATCTCGATAACTAATTCTACTTTCATGAAAAATAAATAAAAATTCATAGAATAAATTTTAGTGCTTTGATAGGCAATTTTGGATCAAAGCTAAATGGTTGAAGCTAATTTAACTACTTACAAATGTAATGACAACTGATTGATTCAATTTATATTATGAACGTATATATTGTTAATCATAGTTCACCCTAATATATATCAAAGTCTCCGATCGTTGAGAGAAATCGCGACCCTTCTACATCCCAAGAGATTCGACATTTGACACCTAATACTCTTGGTTACTCAGTATATCTTTTCGCCCCTATCCGCGATTGGTTGATTATGATCTTACTAATCCACCATTGCCTTCGGGGATTCATACAACATACATCCATTCGTGCCAGACCACCCTGACGTGATTGCCAAGCTTCCAAGCAAATATCCCACGCAAAAATTGCTTCGATTTTCATCCGGCCTTGCTTTTAATTCCATTAGAAGTTGAAAACTGGATTCCTAAAATGATTATTCAATTAGTATTTAGTTCTCATCATAACATTCCTAACATGTTACATATACGACTTAAGAAAATTACGTGAAAAACAAGTTAATAAATGAAACTATAAAACTTTGAATAATTATAATTTAAAATAATCATAATCACCTTTGTGTAAAGATATGAACAAGTTCATCATTCTCTCTAAGACAGTCTTGAATAAATATACTTCAAAAAAATATAAAAGTTTAAAATTAAACCTTTTGACAATTCAAGATAAACATAAATGTGCAAAAACAATAAAAAAACAAAGTAATACATCAAGCAAAAACGATATAACTCTTGGAGAAACCACAATCAAAATGCTAATCGGCTCGAATGAGGTGTAAGTCGATAGAAATAGGATGTAAGGGTGGTTTATTGCTCAGAACTTTGCGAACAAGATCATTCAAGAGCATTACTTCGGATTACTGGGGAAAGGTTCGGTTGGTATCCAGTTAGACAAAAGTAACAGTGAATGAATGACGCGCTACTGTTAAACGCCGTCGCGTTCGTACCCTGCGGCAGTGCAGTCTTGACAAAACACTGAGGGTTGCCAGGACCTTCTGTAAATATTGTTACTACCACCCTGCTAGCAATTTCATTGGCCATATGTCGTATCGTTGTTCTTTTTCGCGACTGTACTATTCTTGTCGTCTTCTATTTTCAACCATTTTTTAAAATTACTTTTCAAACAAATTATTTTAAAGTATAATAAAAAATTAGCCTCATCTTAATGAAATGAATCTACTAGTAAATCAAAGGATATAATGAAACATTGAATTTCTAATATCTGACACGTGTCATTTAATTTACACCAACGTTTATATTCAACTGAATATGTAGGAAATAAAAAATTAATAGAGAATACTTCAAGAGATCTGTTACTAAACATTACTATCGATGCAAATTAATACTGATTTGTCATCGATTATCGATGGCTCACTTACACAGAGTTAAATATAAATTCTGCGCTTCACTGACGGCAGATTTATTATCCGTGAATCGAAGGGGCGGTCTCGCGAACGAGAGGGTGCAAGAGCCACAATGGACTAACAAATTGTGAAACTGTATCCTGTTCCAATGGAGACGTTACGAGAGTTTTCTCGTTTTTTTTTCTTTCTCTGTTTGCGAACGAACAAGTGTGAAATCAGATGCATTCATAATGCAAAGGTCACCCTCATCAGAAATTTGATGCTGAGATCACGGTCGATCTGTCATGGAGACAATCAATTAGTAACGCCATGATAAAAATGAATGAATAGCAAAATTCTTTTCTTATATTAAAGTGATGATATTAAATTGTAACAAATAACACTAGTAAAATAAATGTTGACGATTGAATTGCGGAAGGTGTTAGAGTATTATCGAAATTGTAGTCAAAGAGGAAAGAGGAAGAGTAAGTGTCGAAGGGGTGTAAAACAATTAACGCTGCTAGCAGACCTCATCCCCTTATCGTCTTGTCTACGCCCCAACTATTAGTATAATCGTTGGGGGTGGCAGTCTCCCTTAACTCTCCTGAACTCAGTCCGTTGTTAGCTCACTTTAATTCTTACCAAGTTAAAACTCGTACCGTACGCTTGGGATTCCACTTTCAGTACTTAACTTCTTGCTCTCCTTTTCGCCTCTTCGCGTTATTTTCTTCAAATCATTTGACTCAATCAAAGGACACCTGAAAAAGTACATTTAATTGTTACTTACATTGTAGTTCAAGCTCTTTCTACCAAACCATTTTATAAAATCCTTACCAATCAATTATTAACCATTTTCTTTGAGAAAATGATTCATTTAAAAAAAAAGATTCAATTGATTACGTTTTTTTTTAATTGATTCAACCAAGATTACAGCTTACAAAAAGTTTATAATTAATTAACTGAAAAATTTTAAATACCTTAAAAGTGATAAGACCCATTAATTTCTTGATAGATTTGAAGATCTTAAAGGTTTACACTATAAATGTGTAACATAAATATGAAGAGAAGCGTAACAGGAGTCGAAGCGTAAGAAGCACAACAGCGTAAAACGAACAATGGTCTCCAGAGTTGGCAGGTTGATCCTCTTTGAGTAATGTTGAAATCTGGGGCGTTCCTGGGAAACACCAGCTGACTTAGCGGACAAGAAATAAAGAAAAACTCAAGTGTTAGGATATTTACGAGTGTAATATGAGTTAAGAGTAGAAGTAGAATAGGATATAATTGTATTGTACATAAAAGCTATAAAAGGATAATAATTGCCAAGTCATTATTAAAGATACGATCCTTGACATTGACTGATCCACTAGATGACATAGTATCAATAGTAAACATATAATACTAATGAATATTAAAGGTATTATTGATTGATTGAATTTCATCTTGGTACTGTCACTGTGATTATCATGCAAAGCATACAAAATGTTAACCTTGTTTGGAGATGGATAAGACGGTGATGGAGAATAAAAGTCAAGTAACTCGATACTGAATAGAATTGAGATGGAGGTGAGAAAGAAACGCGGATCTGACGAGAAAACGCGATACCAAGGGTGGGTAATGGAAGATGTGATAATTCAGTATGCACAGCAGAGTTTATTTGAATTTTATTGGTAACTTGGTTGTCACGCAGCGATGGTGGGCACGCAGATCGTCCGCAGGGGTAAGTTAAGAAATAGAGGATCATGAGAGCAGATAGAATGGAGAGATAGAAAAACGGGTACATACCACAGGGGTGCTTCTTAGCTTTATCGGATCGCCAGGATGACGTTCGTACCGTTTCCCGTTTCCCCGAGGGGACACTTTTGCCCAACCAATATCGTCTTCCTCAGGTCGCTTCCAATATCTCTCTAAGTTCCCGACTAGCCATGAATAAACTATTTTCGACTTTGAATATCTGAGCAAACTTTTTTTTCGTTTTACTTGGACGACAGTCGTCAGGGGAACGTTAAGATACCATATCTTCAAGTTGATGATGATTCTGTTTTCAAATGCTCTTCCTTTTACCATTTCCTTACAACATTTTATTACAAGAACTTTTTCATTATGATTATATAAATCATCATAAAAATTAAATTATGTCATCATCATTGAACATGAATGATTATTTTAAATAAAAGTTCAGAAGATAATCATTTGATTTTGTGCAAATAAATTATTAAGAATATAGGAATATTCTATGTTATTATCCAGTGAATATTCTAACAGTTATTGAAAACGACCGTAAAAGATTCACAATCCAACTAGCTAAAATTGTACTTGAAGCTTTTTGCTGAATTCTTCCTTTCTAAAGAAGAAGATACATAGATACAAAATGACTTTTTGCGACATTGTTCCAATGATCGTCTAAAATACAAGAACCCAGCCGACCGCGAATATCCTTGATTAAACGAAGCAAAAACTCTCGAGACATAAGCTTTCACAACCCTGGTTATGCTATTCACTAGGTGGCATGTATTGTCATTTTGTCTCTTCCTCGCTCTGAAGCTGATTTGACTTTTTTTATTACCAGTTTTTCCTTTATTGCACTCATGTATTCTAGATTCATAAGTTCCTCAGCTCAAAATTCGGATCAGTCTTTTGTCCTAAAACAAGAAAATTTACATTAAATAAATGATTATAAAATGAACAAAAAAAATGGAAAGTAAAATACTCTTAAAGTTAATTTATCATTAACATTTTTATTCTAAAATCAAAGTGATGAGTGATTTAATTATCATTACACAATTTTATATCTATTGTCACAGTGACAAGCGGTATAAATGTTTCTATCATGACTGGCAACTTACTAGAAAATGATAAAGCAAATGCTGGAAAGAGGAAAAAAGATATCATGGAATTAGAGCATGTCATCGCAGGTATTGTACTTACATGATAAACAAGTGGTAATGACATCAAAGCTCTAAATACAAAACATAGAGTAAAGATATTGCGATGATCGTGTCTTTAAGGGTTAAGTCTCATATACTCTTGTATCTCATGAAGAGAGGGTTGCAAAACGTTGGAAACGATTTAGGGCACGATGATTGTTGATGACGAAAGCACAAAACAATGCACCTGGCATTCGAACTGAATATTTGGGGCGTGTGGAGAAAAGGGTATGCAAGATTCTTTCTAAGGGGATTGCAAAGATGTCAAGGCTCCAATGATATATTACAAAACATGGGAATTGTCATATGTTTCGTATTTTCCTAATTTTTCTTCGAAGCTAATACTCTTTTCGTGTCTTTTACGCATTTTCAGAATATTATCTCTGATCAAATATTATAAATAAAGGGATTTTAAAAACAGTTCATTTGTAACTTCGAAAAACTCTCAATAACTGCATTTACCATCATGAAGTTGGCGTTTAAATTCGGAAAATCTAACCGGTAGATCAAATTATAATTTATATTATCGACGCTACAACAGAAGTTATCGATAAAAGATAAGATTAAAAGTCGGTAAGATAGAAAAATAATAGTGCATAAACAAACAATGCATCTATGAATGTATCAATAAATCAGTGTATCATGGTTTATTTCGCACGTCATTCTTGAAAAATCATAGTTCTATCTCAATTAATTTTAGCCAGTTTAAGAATAAGTGTTTGTAACGTTTTTTACAAAATGAAGAGTTCTCAAAAAGTGTTATTTTTGAATATTTTTTATCTTATTTTTATAAATATCAATGGATTATCATATCGCCCTGTTGTTGTTATTCATGGAGTTCTCACTGGAAGTCTTAGTATGGAGGAAATTAGTAATAGAATAAAAGAGGTAAATTCAGTAAAAAATTTCGAGAGACTACTAAACAAAGATAACCTTGTCATTATATATTTATAACAACCAATCAGTGTGAGATGAAAATCTTTTTTTTTGATAGGCACATCCAGGAACTCAAATCTTCAATACGCCAAGATATGCTGGTTGGAGCAGCTTGGAACCAATGTGGCGTCAAGTAGAAGAAATTGGCCAAGATGTAATTAGCATTGGTGCTGCTTTTCCAGAAGGAATTAATTTACTAGGTTACAGTCAAGGAGGATTGATTGCGAGAGCAATTTTACAACGATTTCCTGAACACAATGTTCGGACTTTTATATCACTGAGCTCACCACAAGCTGGCCAATATGGAAGTATGTGGACATTGTTCTTTGTCTTTAAAATTTGATTTTATAGAATTTATTTAAGAATTAATGTGACGATTACATCATTGTTATATTTCAGCAAAATTTTTACGTTTATTTTTCCCGGACTTAGTATGCGAAACTGCCTATGAATTATTTTACTCTAGAGTTGGTCAGCACACAAGTGTTGGAAATTATTGGAATGACCCGTATCATCAAGTAATAATTTTGTTTTATAAAGCTTGATAAGTATATCAATTCATTAATTAAATATCAAATGTTTGTATTTTAGGATTTATATTTCAAATACAATCAATTTCTACCATACGTCAATAACGAAAAGAAGTCATCGAACACAACAGGTTTCAAAGAAGGTTTAACTAAACTAAGGCAAATGATTTTAATTGGAGGACCAGACGATGGAGTAATTACTCCTTGGCAAAGTAGTCAATTTGGATTTTTTGATAGCAACAGTACAGTTGTGGAAATGCGGGATAGAGCCATATACCAAACAGATGCCATTGGATTGAAGACATTAGACAAAGCTAAAAAACTCATAACTTATACAATACCAGGAGTACCTCATATAGCATGGCACCTAAACATGACTTTAGTTGATCGATATATTATACCTCATCTTGACTAAATAATCTAAAAAAAATTTTACATTTTTATAAATTATAACAATAATAGTGAAAAAATAATAATTAATCTTAATTATTGTACTTTTGTTTTAAAATTATGAATTCAAAAATAAAAGACTGATTAAAAAGTAAGTCAAAATAAACAAATAACTATATATGCTCACAAATCTTAAGATAGATTAAAATTAAGTATGGAAAAAATAATCAACTAATATGACATTTGCGCAATGTATATGAATAAATTTATTTCTGAATATTCATTATTTTAAAAACTGTATATAAGCATATTCATTTATCCATCACAAATAGCTTTCATTATAAATTTAAGTAATAATAAAGGCAGAAAAGTATTAACTTGAAGAAAAAAATACTCAATGCTTCATCATAGTTTTATTGATTTTCTATCATTAGTCTTGGTGATTTAATTACTTAACAGGTATTTTTAGTATATTTCTTATATTTGCTTGATATAAATTAACAAATTACAAAAACGTAGAGCTTAAAAAGGCTTATTATGAGTGAATCTAGTAATTAAATCGAGAGCCCATTCAGGCTGATCTGCAGGAACCATATGTCCAGCATTACGAACAAGAACTTCTGTCAAATAACCTACAGTTTTAGCATATCCAGCAATTTCATTTTTTACTTTCCATACTTTACGAGTAGCTTTTTGCCATTCATTAGCTTTAGGCCAATTCAGATGTTTCAAATAATTTTCAGTCAATGGATACGCTACAATTATATCTAATTGGCCATTATAAATTAAAACTCGATAATTTTGTGCTAAAATAGCAACTTTATCTGCTTGTGATCGGGTAATATCACCCTTTAAGTGTTCTTCAACTTTACCATTTTCCATTGTATAAGAAATATTTCCTACGTGAATTGCACGCCTTGCATCTATACTTTGGACCCATTCGGCCATCCAATCAGACTCATTTGTGTCTTTTGTGTGTAGATAATTGAAATAAAAGTTGAAACCAGTAAGGTTTTGAAATAGAGTTGGTGGGGAATTTAAATCTCCATCAAGAAGTTTGTTAAATACTTCAAAAGCTTCATCATATTTGCTTTGATTAATTAAGCTTCTACCTTTTTCTTCTAATACGTGAAATTGATCTCTACCATTAAAATCAATAAGACCAAGTTGATAGAGATAATCTCCATACAAAAATTGATTAACTGGGTCAGTAAGTCCGTTACCCATAGCTAATCCCTTTAAATTAATTTTTATTTTTCCTTTGGGATTATTTTGGTGAATCGTATATGATATTGCAGGTACATATTTTCCAGCATAAGATTCACCAGTAACAAAGAAATCATTACTTTGAAGTTCAGGAAACATTTGAAAGAATTGAATTAGTGCTATATAAAGATCTTGGCCCACTTGAGTTTCATTTTTTGCATATCCATCATCCTTATCAGTAAAACTGTATCCTGTACCAACTGGATTATCAATGTACAAGAGATTGTGAGAAATACTCCAACTGTATTTTCTCATTTGAAGAGTTTTGTTTTGAATTACACGGAAAGGTCCATTTTCAGTAAAAAGACCAAATAGAGAGCTTGCTCCAGGGCCTCCTTGAAGCCAGAGAACAACAGGAGCATTTTTAGGATTCATCTGAAGTATTATTAAAATAAATATTATTTTTCATCATATATAACTATCAAAAGTTTCAAATACAATTTAACTTTTTGAAATTTTTACCTTGGCCGGGAAAAACCAGAAAAACATATTAGAATTGTAACCTTCATTAACTGTAAGATAGCCGGCATAACTTCCAACATCAAGCATTTGTGGATGTTGAACAGTAGCTTGCTTCCTAGCTTCATCAATCTTACCATCTTTAATATAAGGTGTTAAAAATAATGGACTTCCAGCATCTTCATGTTCACCAATGGGATATTCTTTTAGCTTTGGATAAGGATTTAAAAATCCTTGAGTATTTTTAAAATACAAAATTGTGAGTAATGAAATATAAATCAAAATATTCAACGTATGTTGAAAGTTACTCATTTTTAAGATTTAATTTATTCACATTTATAAATATAAACTTTACGAACGTTAACTTTTACCAAACAAATAATGCTGAATAACTGATAAACGACCACCAACTGTTTCAGTGTTTACTTACTGCGCACATGAAAATATAGCCAGATGAAAGAAAACACGACTAGTGCCAATCGGTAATTTTTCTAATGATAAATTTGATTGATCATTTTTTATTTTTTTTCATCATAAATCTTTCAAAAGTTGATAAAGTCTTTTATTCTTATATTGTTTTTGTTTAATAAATTACAACTATTGTAATCATAACAATTTTTATCTTGAGTTAATTTTTCTTTAACTCAAAGTGGATATACTAACATCGAAATACCCTCTTTTACACTGAAAATAAATCAAATTTACTATCATCAAATAATTGTTTTTTTCATAAAACTTATTTAAATAATTATAATTAAAAAATTACTTTATTCTACATATCTTAACAAGTCAGTTATTTATAACGACCAAGGAGAAAACCATTTAGCGTAATATAAATGAAATGGCAGCATATTTTGTTTTTTGTACAGCTTCGAATCAAAAACATTAAAGTCTGAATGTTGTAATCTTTTTAAATACTTTGCAATATTTACTGCCGGTAGAAAAATATGTGATAAATTATGTTTGATATTTTTTCTTATCGAATCAGCCTGAAAAATGCAAACAAAATTACATCAATTTTATAGTAATATACTCTGATATAATTTACACAAATCATTACCTTTTCTAAATGTTGATTAGCTCTAGATGCAACTTCAAAAATTACTTCATTTAAGGCCTTACTAGATTCTCCTCTGAACACAGATTCTGAAGAAACACTGTGCCTTAGTAAAATATCTTGAGGAAGTACCATAATTCGTTTTTGTGCATGATAAGGAATCGATCTAATCAACGTTATTATACCTTGCGCTTTTCCTAAATGACTAGCCATGTGATCTACATGAATATCTTTAATATTTTTACTTTCTAATAATAAATAATAAATTGGTGATACTGTTTCTTCTGCATACTGTTCAATAGCAGATAAATCTAAAAATAAATCCGATTTTGATTGTTTCCATCGAGCATCTAATAACCTTTGGAAATATCGTTTTGACAATTTATGAATTCTTAAAATCTGCAAAGGAATAGATAAATATATAATCAATTGTTATTGTATATTTTTTTGAATGAAAAAGTTTGACATCTTACTCTATTCAATTCAAGTGGTACAGGAGCTTCAGGAGGATTATTATCATATATTTTAGACAATGTATCATTCCAAAAAGCATATCTCATATTGGCTATTGTTGGTTCACGTGTGTGATCTTGAACCAATGCTATTTCTACATTAAATGCTCGAATAGCAATTGCAGTTAATCGAATGTCTTTGGGTAATAAAAGAGAGCACAAATAATTCTCATAATCGTTTTTCCTATAAAAGATCAAAAATAAACTTCAATATTTATCAATAAAATATCCTCAGTATAAGTAATCTTACCTTACAAGTTGTAAACAATATTGAGATGGATTTTGTTTTTTGATAGTACTGACTGTATTCAGTAAACGGGAATGAGAATTTTTAAATATTAATTTAAATTTATTCATAATTTTTATTTTCTCAAAGCTGCCTTAGTTTTAATTTGTAATTTTCTTCTTAAACCAAAAACAATCATGAGTTCATACATCAATTGTTCATTATACAACTTTGTTTTCAATTGTAAATGATTCACTTATAATTTATTGATTATATTATATTATTATATTGACAAAAAATATAAATATTTATTTACGATTTAATTAAATATTTAAATCTTTTTTCTTTATGCATAAAATATTATTTATTTATAAATACATACATAAATGTGTACAAAATGTATTGAGAGCAAATACTTTGGAGTCAACTCCGCTAGAGACGACATATTCGTGTCTAAAAATTACCATGCGATGGTAATATCAAGTAGTGATCAGAGAAAGCTACGCCATAATGGAGTCGTTATGGAGTTTGAGAGCGATAATGGAGTAATGTTTGCAGTTTTGGCTTCATAAACAGTAAAGAGTGATTATTGGTAAGTACATCAATAAACAATAATTCATTCTTACGTCTTCTAAAACATTGAGGTTATAGGGAATTAAGCTTTCAATGCTTTTTTGATTTTTGTAGTTTTTTTACTCAAATTATTGTTGAGAAGGTAAAGATATTTTTTATGTAATTATATCTTACAGGTTATGAAAGAAAGTATAATTCAAATATTTCTGAATGAAGATCTACAAAAAATTTCATTTAAGTTATTGTAATAGACATCACATAAATGTATGTTTTAGGTGATCTTTAATCATGGCCCAAAGATTTCCAGTACCTAATACTGGGAATAATGGTCCACCAACTCAGAGATACCCTCCACCATCAGTTCCCCCAAATTTGCGTCAGTATGCTGGGCCAAATTTTCCGGTAAGTTATATCTTCATGCATCTTTTTAACGACTACCAAAGATATTTTTTTTTATTTAATACGAAATAGAAAATATATTACTATATATTTAATTGAAGATGCAACAAAGATCGGGATTCACTCCTCCACCACAAATGGGAACTGGAGGTCCTGGACCCGGTGGTATAATGCGACCTAATCAACCGTACACAAACATGAGGCAAGGGTCAATGGCAGCACCTCCTGGAGGCAAAAGAGCAGATCAGCGCATACCTATTTCACAACAAAAACCGTAAATAATAATTATTTTATAATAATTTTAATTTATTATTATTTACTTGTTTTCTGAGTATGTTTATTTTCATTTAAAAGAATTATTTTCATTTATTTTTATTTTGGCGAATACAAAAAACGACTCTGATCACCGTAGAACATACACCACACACGTTTCTAAATTTGTTTTGATTTTAAACATATGATTTCTACACAAACTTATCTAGGTATTTTTGGAACAGTGATTTTTCACATTCCACTTCGAAGAAGAAGAAGAAATTGGCTGATAAAATATTACCTCAGAAAGTGCGTGATTTAGTACCAGAATCACAGGCCTATATGGATTTACTCGCATTTGAACGGAAATTAGATGCGACAATTATGAGAAAGCGTCTTGATATTCAAGAAGCTCTTAAACGTCCAATGAAACAGAAAAGAAAATTACGAATATTTATTTCTAATACTTTTTATCCTGCCAAGGAGGCTGGTGAAGGTGAAGAAGGTTCTGTAGCGTCTTGGGAGCTTCGTGTTGAAGGTAGACTTTTGGATGATACTAAAAATGATCCTAATAAGGTATATTCAATTATAAAAATTCATATTAAAACTAAATAATTTTTGAAAATAGTGGACTGATTTATCAATATGTTTTCAGGTGAAAAGAAAGTTTTCGTCATTCTTCAAAAGTTTAGTAATTGAACTAGACAAGGACTTATATGGTCCTGATAATCATTTAGTAGAATGGCACCGTACATTAACCACGCAAGAAACTGATGGATTCCAGGTTAAACGTCCTGGAGACAAAAACGTTCGATGTACGATTCTTTTACTTTTAGATTATCAACCATTGCAAGTATGTTTAAAAATTTATGCTATTTTCATAATAATTACTACATTAATCTATGTTTTTAAACAGTTTAATTAAATGTTAACTGTTTTTTGCTTTAGTTTAAATTGGACCCAAGACTTGCCCGTTTATTGGGAGTTCACACTCAGACTCGACCTGTAATCATATCTGCATTATGGCAATATATAAAAACTCACAAATTACAAGACAGTCATGAACGGGAATTTATTAACTGTGACAAATATCTCGAGCAAATATTTGCATGTCCACGTATGAAATTTGCTGAAATCCCACAACGATTAAATCCTCTTCTTCATCCTCCCGATCCAATTGTTATTAATCACGTAATAAGCGTTGAAGGCACAGAAACTAAACAAACTGCTTGTTATGATATAGAAGTCGAAGTTGACGATACCCTCAAAACTCAGATGAATAATTTTCTTTTGTCTACTGCAAGCCAACAAGAAATTCAAAGTTTGGATAACAAAATTCATGAAACTGTTGAAACAATTAATCAATTAAAAACAAATCGAGAATTCTTCTTGAGTTTTGCAAAAGATCCACAGCAATTTATTAATAAATGGATTATTTCGCAAACAAGAGACTTAAAGACAATGACTGATGTCGTTGGAAATCCAGAAGAAGAACGAAGAGCTGAATTTTATTATCAACCATGGGCTCAAGAGGCTGTTTGTCGTTACTTTTATACTAAAGTACAGCAGAAACGAGCAGAATTGGAGCAAGCTCTTGGAATTCGAAATTCATAAATTTATTTAATCATTGTAGATATAAATTGTCATTTTCGAAACTTTTTAATGATGGTAGAAAAAACATTTTTCATTAAGTCATTTTTTGTTCTTTTTTTCTTTTAATCATATTTAAATTATGCTTTAATGTGTAATGATAATTGTTAATCAATTTAATGTATCAAAATAATAATGACGGTAATAATATCAATTTTTACATTCAATCTTCATTCACATGTCGTTGAAATATAATTGCTAACAACAAATTCAGTCTATTTATTTGTAAATTACAATTACGCTTGTAATTTTTTTTTAATTATATTATTTATTTTTCTATCAATTTACAGTGACGATTTTCGTTATTCAAATGTTTGTCCCTCCCTTTAGGCAGAACAATCAAACGCCCTCTAAGATTCATTTATAACCTAAAAGTAGATAAACAAGAATATTTTTGTTATTGTTATTTACATCGAAATTAATAATTTGCAACTATTTTTAAGCCCTAAATATTTTCAATGAGTGATAGCAATAATAAATTATTAAGAATGTAGTTGTTGTTGCTGTGCAAATTTTAAAAAACTATAAAAACAAATAAACTGAAAAGTTTGGTTAATTTTGTTGAAGACATTAACTATAATAATAATCATCATCACCTATGTAGGTCAATAATTATTTGTATTTTATCATCATTGTTTGCTATTATTTATTTTATATTACTTTAATTTTCAATTAAACATATTTATTTTTATCATTAAATAACAAATAACCTTAATAAATGATGAAAATAAATTAAATAAAGATAATTGTTATTATTACAGATTCAATAATTTAAATCAACAAGATGAATGACTCATTTTTGGAAGATTTGAATTTATTACCTCCAACACAAAAACCAGGATCTACGGTTCACCCGGCAGAAAAATACATTACATCACGAAATTCTCAATCCCCTACTTCTAGAGACCTTAATTCAGAGAGAGACGAACTTGAGGCTTTGATTAAACAACAACTAAAATCATCAACTCCAGTGCTACAATCATCATCCACGCAAAAAACATCTAATAAAAAATCAATTGAAAAAACAGCATCACCCATCACAAGTCAGCCTACTATAAATGTTCCAGTACCATTAGATATTACGCCTAAAAAGAAATCTGATATAAAAGATAAAAAGAATGAAATCAAAAAACAAAGTAGAGATGGGAAATATATTACAACGAAATCGAAGCTTACTGATAAAAAAGCTCATGTTAATGAAGAAAAATTGAAACCTGTTGAAAATATTGATTATATAGAAATACCTAAATCAAATTCATTACCTAAAGGACGAACAAAAAAACTATCAGAGCCGAAAGAATGTAGCAAATTATCAGATGGATCTTTAAAAGAGAATAACAAGCCATCAGACTCATCGGAAGATACAAGCTCTGATGTTGTAAAAGAGCCAAAACGAATTTCTACAGAAGTTCCAAAGCAGAAGAATGAAGTTAGAGGTGAAAAGGATTCTACTATTACGATAAATGCTGTGAAAAATATCGTCAGTGAGTGTACAAAGGCTGAGAGTGCAAGAGTTATGAAAATGATGCAGGATCTATATATAAATTCTCAAATGAGTTTAGTTAAACAATTAATGCTCGTAAGTGATGATATACGTGATACTTTATCGACAAATGATTCACCGCAAGTTCAAAAATTAATTCAAGAGAATGAACAACTTAAAAATAGCATAGTTTTTTTTAAAAATAAAATAGAAGAGTTACAAAAAGCTGCTGATTCAGTGGAAAAAGTTCGTCAAGAGAACATAGCTTTGAAAAAAAAAATTCATGAACTCGAGAAATAATGAAAATTTAGTTAATGATTAATTGGCATAATACTATTAAAAGTGATATTAATGTTAAAAACAATTCCGACATAAAACAATAGTTAATGAATAACAAAAACTAAAAATAATAGGAATGATAAGGTTGTATAAATGTTTATTCAAAATATTTTAATTTTTTTACTGTATGTGTATTTTCTTACTTAAATTAAATAAATAAAAAATGTTTATTTCATCTAATAATTTTTTTTTATTTCACCTGAGAAGATTTTTTAAATGTAAACTTGTAAATATAGAAATGCAGTTTACATAAATGCTTTATATACAATTGTTCATCAAACGGAATCTTAAAATTGAAAAGTAATGATTATAAAATTTCCATGAAGCTTCTCATTCATACTGCATTCATATAAACATGTAAAAACAAAGTTATTCGGCAGTATTTGTACGTCATATCACTTGGCATATAAATATATCATTTTTCATTTATTACTTTACGATAATTAAAAACCACTGATATCATTTCAATAATTGTAAATAAATTAACAAGTTAATGTCTTCGGAAAGCATTAAAACCATAGATACAACGATGATTAATATTTTAACTCACACGTTTTTATGTTTAGCTGACTAAAGCTAAAACTTTATATTTTTTCAGATTAACATTATAATTACAAATCAAACATAATCAATTGTAGCACACTTTTTCATTATTATAGAGCTGAAATAAATTGTTTTTGTAGAATAATTCTTCGAGAATTTTTCATAAAAATCTATGAAACATCAAGCTCTTTTAAATTCATTATTTTTGGCAGCATTCAAATATTTTCCTTTTGAATCATCAATTAGTAAATTGATCATTTTTGGGATATTTGAATTGTCATTGTCATGATTAGTAAATAGTTTTTGTAAATACTATTTTTTGTAAATATTAAATTCATCAATTATCGGACATACTTAACTGAAATCTGGTTGACTAGAAAATAACTTGATTCAAAACTGTAGGTTTTATAAACTTCAACCAGCTGCCTTATTTTTTCTAAATTAAAAACACTAAAAAATATATTTATTTATCTTTTTTCCTTTCTTCGTTTTCAACTCTTACATCATCATTATCATCATTATCATCATCATCATCATCTTCACTATCATGATCATCATCATCATTACCACCAACCCTAACATTACCTCCATAATTATTATCAACATCATCGAGATTATCATCATTTCCACCATCATCCTCTTCATCATTCGGTTCCGGTGGTCTCGTCCACCTAATTAACGTCTCTGGTGACCGATAAAGGAATATTAGTTTCGCAAATAGATCTTCCTCAAGCGACAATTCATTACTTTCACGCACTAGATAAATATCTAAACATAATCGCAAAATTCTGTCGACGTAAGGCATATCATCAAACATAATTTTAGAAGCCATATCGCTCACCAGTCTTCTAATTATTTGGCTTACGAGAATAACTCCAGTAGTATATAATCCAAGAATACCAAAACCACTAAGAAAACTTAAACTCTCTGGAAAAACTTTATCATTAAATAAAAACATAACAATTTGACTGCAATTATTCATAGGAACTTGATTGAGAAGTTCGTTGTAAATTGGATCATCACAACGTTCACTAACCATCCACCACTGTTGACCAGTATCTGAAGCTAATTGAAGTGTGACATTCCGATACAAATAATCAGGGTCTTGTCCATTGTCAGTACCAATAAGAGGATAACTTTCAGTATGAATTGATGATCGCATTAGTTGTTTAACAACTGCCGTACTCTTACTAGTAACCTTAAGAAACTTGGGAAAAACATTGTCTAGAGCTATAAAAGTGTTAGTTGAATTGGTAGAATCAGAACTCAGCAATTCGGATAAATTCGTTCTCACTGGATTAAATTCTCCATTTATAAACGGCAATATTTGGATATCTCTGATAGTAGGAGAAACTCCAGAGAAGTCTTTAGCGTCAGTTCTCCTACTTATTTTCCATTCCACCCTTACTCCAATACTAGTTTGATTATTTAATAACTCTTGCTGTAATTTTTTCTTTTCTAGAGGAGTTATTCCCCAAAACCTTTGTGAAGATTTACTTAACTTCACTACCGCAACGTCTAAAGGATCATAATTTTCAAGAAATGTGGAAGCAGCTCGATCTGATGAATAAATACTACGTAAAGTATGGAATTCTTCATTGTTATATTGGAGAATCGATGAATCTTGAGCAGAAGTAATGTAAATTGGTTCATGAGATCCAACTCTGATACTGAGAGACACTTCTGAAGGAATATTGGCCATTCCAACAGTGCCACCAAGTGCAAAAAGAAGCAGAGGAAACCAAATTACACCAATTATGACGAAAAGAGCACCACCTCCTACCATATATTTACTCATTTGGGCCTTTTTCACTCCTCTTGGTTGTGGAAAATCTGATTCTAATCCTCTCATACATTTTATTTGATAAATACTTGCAAAAATATCTTCCATTTTAAACCAATCCATCACTGTCATTGATGTGTCAGTCCAGATCCAATCCATTACTGCTCTCAACTCAAATAAGAATGGAACCAGCATAAATACTTTGAAAAGACAGTAATTGATGATGCTGTAATTTTTGCAAAGGAAATTACCAAGAATTCTTGTCGGATATCCAAGTCGTAATTGATAAGCTGAGAGTAATAAATAGAAACATTTCACGATGTACCATATTTGAGGAGGTAAATTATTACTGAATTGTCTACCAGTAACTCCGGGTAAAACAAAAAACATCCAAATATGAATTCCAAATACCAAAACATAATGAAAAATTAATTTACCGAAAATTGACTTTCGGAGATACAGAGCTCGATCCGTAACGATCAGAGCAAATTGTAATAACATCATTGAAAGGAATGGCATTGGTACACGATTTTCTTCAAAGTATGCTTTAACTCCTCCATCTCCTTGCTGAGTTCCAAAATATGAGAATCCAAAGATAATTAACAAAAAGTTGAAAAAGTCACAAAGAAACATATAAGCATAAACATTAGTTTTTTCTTTGCCATCAGGACTTAGAATATTGTCAAAGAAAATTTTTCCCGGTTCACAATACTTTTTGACAGTCATCTTGACTGCTGTAGAAAATTCAGTGTCACATACATAAGTTTCTTCATTTCTTATTTCAACAAGTCTTCCTTCGTCGCTTTCAATTTGATGTTGATTATTTAAATCTACTTCATCGGTGGAGGTTCCTACTCCTGGATCTCTTGAAGTTGTTTGTTGAGATTTTGGAGGTTGTTTATGATCTTCATTTTCCCATTGAAGCTGAGTTTTGTTTCTACTATTAGTTGGAGAAGATTTTAAAGTACCAACTGTCATTTGAGATGGAATTATTTTCCTCGTAGCATATGGAGTAGTCCATTGACCTAATGATTTCAACATAAATCTATGGAAGAATACCATAAGAAGTAATAGTAAATCCCAGAGAGCATAATCATTCTTCTTTTCAACTCCTATAATTCTTGGAGTCTCCATAGGCTTATTATATGGTAAATGTTGACTCCACTGTATTAATTCCAGTTGAAACATACACTTTATGATGACAATAGCTTCTGTATAAGCAATTATTGTCACCCAAAATGTTTTTGAAGGCCTTGGAATAGTTAATGATCCCCAGAAGAATACCATTAAAGGTAGAGGTGTAGAAAGAACTGATGCATTTTTAATTTGATGTAAGAAGATCATGAAGTAACATACAAATGTTGAATGAGCAAGAATTCCAAACCAGATTGATGCAAGAAGTTGGATAATGACAGGTTGATCTACTTCTGACAACTCTGGTTCTTCTTCTCCAGTCATTGGTGTTACTTGTGTTCTTGTCAGCATTGAGCTAAAGAAAATACAATAGTTTATTTATAAAGTAGCATGATCATAAAAATTAGAATATATAATGATAAATAGTTAGTAACATTTAAAAATCATGCAAGCATTCAATTAATTATAAGCAGAAAATTAATTGTTTCTTGTGAGAAATGAAAATCATAAAATAATAAAGAAGCAGAGGGTATATAGGATTAATTGTTAATGGATAAATATATGATGAATAATTTTGTTTCAATAGGTAAAATAAACCGATACCTGGAGGAGGATCCATCCAATCCTCGCTCCAAACTCGGCGCCATGATTCGGATGTGGGGTGCAGTCAGCAAACTCTCTGTCCTAGTAAAAATGAGGACATTTTTGTCTAACATTGATTTCTTTCAATCAAATGAAATAATAAATTCCATATGTACTTATTTTTATTACACTAAAAAATTTAGTTGAATTCTTTTATTTATTCTTCATAGGACAATTAAGATAAGGACTTACTTAAGGATTTTCAAAGGAACTCGAAAGGTTTTTTTTAAACGTTTTTGCAGCCATTGCGGTATTTCATGCCTATGATAAAATAATCATGCAATTTTTAGTAAACAAGGTAAACAGTAATTAGTGCAAACTAGTTTTAAATATTTAAATTAATTCAGTAACTGTAGAAATAATGAAAATTAGTGATTAGAGAGTTATATAAAGAAGCCACCAATACCAGGACCACACACGAGATTTTTTTAAAAAACAAAGTGATATCATTTTGCTGAAAAATAAATCATTTAGAAATCTAACGCTACCTTTGACTCTCTGATTTTTCTCGTCTCAATTCTCCTCTACTCTTTGATGTTTCACCGGAACTTTCCTCAGTCTCTGATCTGTTTACAGCAGTATATTTACAAACTAACTAAAACTACGTATTAAAAAGCTACCTTATCTATACTTAAAGCTTACTAACTAGATATGTACTGTGAAAATTCTTAAAAGTTTTTTTGGATTGGAATAATTAATAAATGTGCAACATTTTAAAGCTAATTTCTAATAAAACTTTTCTAATATTCAGCTTGATACGATTATCCTAAAAGTTACTATAAAAAATATAGTTATTTTGTAAAAAAAATTATACCTTTCTTTTAGCACTGGTATAGGTTGCCATATTTGATTGATTCCAAGTCTTACACCCATGCGAAAATCTGATTTTGCCTGAAAGATTTTTTTTTTTTTTAATAATTTTTTTAAATAATGCTTATTTGAAAATATTTTTTAAATAAATTCTTTTAATATTTTTTCACTTACTTTTAAATTAGTTTTTTCTTTAGCTAAAACTCTGCGAATATATCTATAATCTCTAGAAAATTTATTTAAATATTTTGTAGCAGAAATCATAAAACTATTGATAAGTTCAATAAAAAATTTAAAATAAGTGAGGATGGAAATTCTTGTTTTCATTTGCTCTTTGTTGTCTTCAGGTGTAGATGACGAGTCATAGTCAAAATCATCTTGAGAATCAAATGGTTTTGAAGTTCTTCTAGATTCATCATCCTTTCCTCCCAGTGTAGATCCTCGATCTTCATCTCGAATGGAAGCCTTTTTACTAGGACCCTATTAAACAAACGTAAATTAGAATTATTAATAAAAACAAAATAAATATTATGTACATATATACAATGCAAATTAAATAGCCGAAGAATTGTATGTTACAGTAGCCGTCCAAGCTAAAAGATATAAAATATTTACAAAAAAAATGACAGAAAACAGAAACGGTTTAAGTATAATCGATAAGCAGAAATACGCCTTCACCTCAACATTATCAACAATTAAACGACGAATAATTGATGAATAATAAAATAATATTTTTTGCACTAAACAAAATTAGCATAAAATAAAAATATTAGATAGATTCCATACTTCTATAGAAAAAACTGAATATTAATGGTAACGAATTACATTAAGAAGATAGTTATTTTGAAACGTGGCTATTTTGTTATACGTTAAAAATTATGCAACATTATTTAAATTATATATCTTTTGATGATGACAAGTCTCACTTCGGTCACCGCGGCAGTTTCAGTATCCGATTGGGCACTCAAATAAGACATGGAAGATTTCTTGCGGGATAGTGGCACACTTTGACGTCTCAATCGAAGTGCATCCTTGGCTGTTCCTCCATACATGGCAACGTGTGTTGCAATCTCTATGTCTGTCTTAAACAGCGTGGACATCAGCTGCAAGAATTACTTAGGGAATCAAAGTCTGTCTGCTAGTTAATATTTGATTGCTAAAGTTGCCATTAAATTATTAGTCTGAATTGATTAAAATTATTAGTTTGTGTATTACGTAATGGATTATGATGGTGCATAATAAATAAAATAATTGTTCAACTTATTTTAATAATTCACTAAATAAAAAATTATTGTTTGAATATCTCGTGAATTAATTACTTACTTCTGATATAGTCATTCTACGACCTGCAAGTCGTTGTTTACGACGTTGTTCGTCTTCATCAATCTCCATTTCAGAATCAGGAATAAGATCAGTCACATCGTCATCATCATCATCAAAATCGTCAAACATATAATAATCTCCTGACCTCACAGCTGGAAAGATTCATAAATTTATTCAGTTAAGTGTCCAATGAATATTTCCATCATTTAACAGATTATAAAGCCATGCAATAAATACTCCACAGGAACATTCACTAAGTACTAAACATAGAAAAAGGTATTTACAAGGACAATTTACAAGGATTAGAATAATTTACAAGGAAAGTTTTTATTGGTCTGAAGGATCTGAAAAAAACTACAGGGTAATTATTAGAATATTTAATTAGTGAAAAAATATTAAAATAGCCAGATGGATAGATAAGGTTCAGGACTCTGCAGAAAATACAGAATTCTTTAAATTACCCTCTCTATTCGTCTTTGGCACACGTTGTCTGTACAATGGCCGATCTCTTGGATAGATTGAATCTAATAAAACACACACATAAAACGTTTAAAATATAAAATATAAAAAAAGCAATCAACAAGAAAATAGAAATAATATATATTTAAATTTGAAAAAAAAAAATTCTGAAACAATAATCTGTTAAAACGACACGTTAGTTTTTTGTATGTAATAAATGAATGACTTGTACAATGATTGATGAAGACCATGCTGCTTAAAGAAGGCATGAAGACAGTAGAAATACGAAAGGTGCAGATCCACGGTCTAAATTCACTGCTGTGGAAGCTTATATACAGGACACGAAGACAGAGGCGGGATGATTGCTGATCGGTTACATGTTTGATGTGATCGTGGAGATCGTAATGATCTGGAAGCGATAGAGATGGATGCACGTGGAGTTATTGGAAGCTCTGTCCAGGTAATTCCTGCAAGACTAGACTGTCTTCGATGATTGATATCTCTCGACATAGATCGGCAAGACTGATCACTGTTGGGTGGTGGATCATATGGTGGTGGAGAAAAGACGGGAAAAGTCTCATCTGGTGATGGCCCACGAGGATTTAATTCACTGCTTGGAGGTGAGCCAAATGATATTCTTGTAGGCTCTAAATAGCCTTCAAGACTAACAGTCAGAATAGCAGAATTTGGAGACGGTGCCTGTAAATGTGAAGCAGCACGAGGAGTTAGAGGTAGTGGATCTTCATCTCGTTTCTCTTCCTGAAGGCTCGAAACATCTTCATCATCATCTTCATCGATGGGAGTCTGATATCCTTGAGGCGGAGTGTGTCCTGAGGACACATAAGAACTTGCGCTAGAAGTTCTTGCCAACGGAGCCATTCCTTGATATTGAGAATGCGTGAATCAAAGATGACAGAGGTATAAAGGATTAATGTGGCGATTACAATCATCGATTGATTGAATTTAATTAAAAAATTATTGAAAAATAGAAATAAATGAAATATTTCTTACCAACTTTATGACTTGAAGGCTCCGTGTAGCTTGGACCATGAATCCTAAGTTGATCTGCTTTAATTTTATCCATTTTGAGTTTAATCTTTTGAAGTACAGCTCGATCCAAATTCTCTTGAAATTCTATTCTATTTCTATGAAGATCTTCCAAGAGTTCAGCACCTCGAGAAGCCAAAATACTCATGGCTTTTGTTTCATCAACAATATGGAAAAAGTAATAACTTTTGAATAATCTTTTTTGAATGATAAGAAAAGCAAAACATATGCCATCCCAAACCATTCCAATATCTTCTCTTGATACTTCACAATGATTTGGCCCGTAATTTAGTATCGAATTATCGACTTTCTTCAAACAAGCAACACCTAATAACTGAATTAACCAACAAGCTTTTGCTTCTAATTCTTCAATGTAAACACAACCGAGTCCTTGTAGTATAGTTTTACAAAAAATAACTGATACATTATAACCAATTAAATAATTCCACCATCTGAGTATAACTCTTACAGGTCTAAGATAAAAATCACTTCCTTGCCAGAGGAAAATGAAAGATCCAATAAGATAACCCAGAGAGAACAAATTTGTTCGATTGGTTCCAGCTAAAAACATCATGGACAATGTAATCCACATACAGCTCATCATTGATCCTCTTTTAACGACGTCCAACCAGCAATGAATATGAGAAACATAGTCTTTAACAGGATTGATGAAGTTCGGTTTATCCATGTCTTTATAAACAGAATAATTATGTCCTGCGACAAATTCTGTATTTGTAGCTTCACTTTGAGCTTCAATATTAAACACTATGCTCTGTCTAATGATCATATAAAGTAGGAAAAAATCACACACAAGTTTTGTTGGATCTGGCGGATACTCAGGATCAGGGAAATACATCCATTCATGGAGATTAATGTTAGCAGACCATGGATATTTAATACAGAGCCACGTTGGTGGAGCAACTACACAGGCATATTGCACTATAAGCATTACGATAGCAAAAACTCTGAAGAACGGCCAGATTTTAGCTGCTGTACGACGAGTTTGGGCAAATAAAACAAGCAACCAAACTCCATATATAACAGAGTAAAAGTCTAATCGAGTGCCAATAAGAGCTACTATACCAATCAAACAGAATTCTAAACCAAATTTATAGAATCCATAGTTGAGGAAAAATTTAAGACATTCAGCTATTCCTTTATCGGCATCTGCTCTTTTTATTTTTGGAAACATAATTTGAGGGGTTTCCATCGATTCTCCTTTGCTATAACGATAGAAACACTGTCTTACTGTGATAATGGCTCGTATTGTAGTAACAGTAACAATACCAATGTAACCTTTTAATAAATCTGGCAACATTCCTGGTTTAGCTTTATCCATTCCAATCCACTCGGCTATGTTAAATGTCTTGGTATGATTAACTGTATGATTATTATTTGAATCCGGAATCTCACTTGTACAATTAACATCCCATTTTCTGTGATCAATATATTCTATTTGATACAACATTTTTGCTATCATTAAAATAGCTATAGCTACAGACATACCATTGATTCCCATAATTTGTATTTGTCGTTTGAAATTCATTGTTACAGCAATAGTTATCACGAAAATAAAGTTTATAGCACAAACATCGTTCAAACAAAGTAGCATTAATGAGGTAAATATTATTTTCTGCATGTGAATTTCGAGAATTAGCCAAAAGTAACTGTAAAAATCTTTCAATTGTTGGACAGTTTTTCGAAAGAATGCAGCTCTTTCTAGTTTTGACATATGTTTAAGTTGTCTAAGACTAAAAATTGTTGATGGTTCTTCTCCTGAATTTAACAGTACATCAACTGTCGAAGTAGTTGCTATTGGTGGTGTTAAACTCTCACGTTTAGATTCTACAGATACATTGACGTTTTCAATATTAGTCAATTCCAAAAAGTCATCATGAAAATAATGAATTTGAAGTACTGTAATGATGACAAAGAAAGTTGGCGTCAAAAGACGTACGAATAAATCTTTTGTAGCATATCTTTCAAGGCCAATATCTTTTTGCAAACGTTCATTGATATGAAGATATTTCCAATATTCCAGGAAATTTTTAAACTGGTATGTATATACAAGAATTAACATAACTACAGAATAAACGATGACGGCGATCCAGAAACCGTACATCATCTTTCGCCAAGCAGACCAAGAGAGTTGAAAAGAAATAAGGAAAAAGAGGAAAAGCATCATATAAATAATGCGGAAGACAGTCATCCTCTCTCCAGTAATTCCACTTGTAAAAAGCATTATAGCAACTACGACAATCCAAAATTTAGTTAGAAGCTTTTTAACAACTATTCCAACATCTTTCATGAATTGGCTTTTGATTTCTGGAGTATCATGGTGTATAGCAGTTGACATGGATACATGAAGAGGTGCTACCATGTCTCTGAGAGTTGACGTTTGATGTGCTTGTAATCTTTCAGCCATGTATTGCCGCATCGTTATCCAAAACATTGTCATAAATCCACTTTTAACGACAAGATGCCAACTGTTGAGTGTATCAGCTTTTGGAAAACCTATTTCTGACATTTCCACTCCAGAAATTACGTCTGGTAATTCTTCCGGAGTTAAATTCATACTGTAAACGTAGCCAACAAGAAGCAATACAGTTCCATAGAATACAATGAATGGAGAACACTTCATCATTATAGCTCGTTTATTCGGTGCCATCCAAAGAATTAAAGCCCAAAGTAAGAAGACAAAGGTTGTCCAGCTATGATACATAATACTCCAAGTCTAAAAAAAATTTGTTATCATTTGATCGTGAATAAAAAAAAATATTACAATACATGAAAACTATAATTTTAAGAGCCTTGTAATTTTATTAAGGACATAATTGATAAGAAGACGCTTACCATCATAATTATGTTTGTTCCCAAGTATGATGAATGAGCAAATAATTGAAAAATAGAATAAACTGCCATGATAACATGTTCAATTGGTCCCATACGATCTTCTGGAGCATCTTTATTATAATAATAATAATTACTTTTTTTGCTTGTTATTGGTATTTTTATCAATCATCATTATAACTAACCTTCAGTTATTGATTGCATTTGTATATTATCATCATTATGACCATCCTGAACGATAACACTTCCTGTAGAATCTTGAAGAAGTCCCGTACGTCCCGACCCAAAACGCATCAACTATTTATAATAAAAAAAAATTAATAATGAAACTTATTTTTAACATAAAAGTCTGATATAATCATTCATTTTTGTGAACAATGGTTAAATGTATGTACATGTATTACAGCATAAAATTATTTACAAGTGCAAACTATCGAAATAACACGCAAATACAATTTTGATACAATAAAAAAATTACTCTCACCAGTTGAGAAACATTTATGACAGAATAATTATTCTGTGGCTAGATTGCATGTATGGAATAGATAAATTATAAAAGATTAATTAGTATTTATTTTTTAGAAAATTAAGAAAAACTTGTTTATTTTAAAAAAAAAAGCTGAGCAACAATACGTACAGGTGTTCTTTCATCCGGCTGAGGCTTGGAAGCAGCAGATGGTTTCTAAAACAATGAACCAAGAAAAAATAGACATTGGCCAAGCCAAAAAGAAAGTATGCTAATAATTATTAAATAAAAAAATTAAGATCTAGAAAAATATATAAGTAAAAGCCTAAACATTGATAAAAATTATTTGTTGTTATTTACTACAAATAGCTATGGTGATGTTTCAATAAATGCATATTTTAGTTCAGAATCTATTAAAATTAATATAATTAATTACAAGCGAAGCTTGACACAGAAGCTCTACGATATATTGACATTCAACATTAATATATTTTTAATTTTAAAATATATTCTCACGTATGCCTTTCGGCGAGCAGATTGCCATCTTTGTGATGGCGTTCTGCGTCTTAGAGACACGTGATGTGAAAGTTGGGTATCCAGATTTTTAAATTTCTGACTCAATCGTGCCGATTCATCATCCTTTAAAGTCTGTATTGTATTAATTAGGTAAGCCGCGTCACCATAAGATCAAAAAATATTATTTTGGGGTTCAAAAAAATTAATATCAATTAATAATAATAAGATTAATTACTTTTATCAATAATACTAAAATAAGTTTCATTAACTAATTAATTAATTAATAGCTTCATAAGTTTTTGCATTATTTAGTCTAATTTATGATACTAAGATAATCCATTTAAATTTAAACTCTTGACATTTGTAAGTATTTAGGTTTCTATTCAACAGGGGAAATTATCAACTTTTCTACCCTCTGATTTCGATGAAAAGATAAGTGGTCGTTCCAATAGGGTCACCCTTAATATACCCTAGGAAGATCTGATAAACAGGTAGTAGTTTTTTTAAGAATAAGTAACTTTGTATATTGCATTTGTAAAAGAAATGGTTAATTATGTTAAATTTATTAGTTTGAAGTTTTATTTGGTGTGCTTCAATAGCTTAAACCAGATGGTCTTTATATTAGTGTTATCATTAATCTTTTTTTTGTTTTAAAATAACTTGGAACTATAAATATCACTATTTTTAAATTCAATTAAACTTCATTTTCATTACATCATCTTCTAAAATAAAAGTTTTTTGATTTGAAATTTTTACATAAGAAAGATTTCAAGTTTTAATTTTTTGTTTACACCTGCATTGTTTTCTATCAATGTGATTAATTGCTATTATTATTTATGTCATTATTAAACGATTATTAGTTGTATATATTTCAAGAATTTAAATTTAAAAAAATTATTAACACTCTAAATTTGAAATAAACTAGTTAATTCACTACAATAAATTAAAGCCTAAATGAGTTCATGATTTAACACTGATTAATTATTAAGTCTTACCGGTTTTTTAAAGAGAAATTGTGACTGAAGTGCAAGAACATAATATAACCAAAAAAGCCTCAATGAATAAGCATAACCATTTTGAGTCCACTCCTTGTCATCAGGATTAAATTGAGTATGCCTTGGATCGGAACAGTTGGTGATGTAGTACGCATCAAGACCAAAATATCTTGACCAATTACCCTTAACTGGAATAAATTCTTGAGGCCATTGATTTTGATAAGATAACAAGACAATAATATGAACAACAACAACGGCCATCAATATTCTGCAGACAACTGCAAAACCTCGAGACAATTCTCGATTACATGCCCACCAGGTAGCTGCACCCAAGAACATCAGGAAATAAAAACCTCCCTCGACAGAAGGAGTCATTGCTGCTGCATAGCATAAAGATGCTAAAACAACATAAGTTCCGATTCTTCCCAAGAAATTAATTATCTTGATATTCTTATCATCTGGTTTTTTAATTATTGGCTGAAGACGTGTTTCTAGTGGTGTATTCTCAAGATCTTTTTTCTCTTCTGATGTAAATCGACGACAGAGAATATACACAATAATCATCACTGGAAGTGCTGCTATTTCAGGTATCAACCAGAAAAATATTTCAAATACTGACGCATGGTCCATTCGCACTAGACCAATATGCCTAAATATTTCTTCTAATAAACTGCAATTCTCTGTAAACTTTTCCCATATCGAAGACACACTAAGTAAAATAATTTGAAATGCAAATTGAATGCATCCTGTGATGAGAGTTAAAGCTATACAAGATTTTAAATAGTGTCCAGTTGATTTCTTCATCGTTGTTGATGTTGGAACTGGGATGAAAGGTGATATCAACATCATTATCAGATAAATAAGTGATAATCCTGTTGGCCGCCATACTGCACCTGTGAAAAAGTTCAAAAATTTAAGAAAACAGTTTTTTCTTTAAATTAAAAATATATATTTATAATGTGATTTGTTGCATTTTAAAGTTTCTAATTCTATGAAAGTTTTCAAGATGAGACTTAAAATGTCGTTAATTAATTAACATAGTTGAGTTGTAATTATCGTTGAGTTGTTAATTGTTTCCGTGTTTACTATCCATTATCACACTCGACAGAAGTCCTCAAACGATTTTTCTTTTAAATCTTGCTTATTAAATTAATTATATTAATACAAACTATTTCTTGAATGACATTGACCTTAAAATCAGGTCAAATCAGCGACTCCCACACATAGAAAGAAGATCTTCTAAAATTTGTTATCATCGGAAGTGAAAATAAAGTCTTAAAATACTATTCGAAATGCTCCACTTTTATTTCTTATTTTTCTGTCTTTGTTATTTTAGTCTAGTCTGTCATCTAGACACTTACATCTTGACAAGCTCTCGTACGTTATTTACTAGAGTAATGAGATAATTATTTCCTATCATAACTTACATTGTTTATTTTCATTGGCAAGACTAATTTTTTCTTTCATATTTACATAAATAAATAATAATTTCAACCAAAACTATTTTTTATTTTCAGAGAATAAAATAATTATTAGAATAAATGGAAATTTATATTAGTAAAATTGTGCTAAATTTTTCTATATCAACAAAGTTTCTACCGCCATTTGAATACTCTGCTAATTTTGGCACATAATTGATTGCTGACTTACAAACAGTCTTCCTACTCATCTACTGACACTATTATATATTACAACTCTGAATTCCACTAAGCCACAGAAACTCGTCAAAATGCCAAACGAAATAATGTCTCGTCTCTCAATAAAATACAAAATGAAAGTAAGTTTATTATGAAAGAATGTTTTACATCTTATAACAATTAATTATTGAAAGTTAAATAATTTCTGATAAAAGCAGGAGAAAAAAAGTTGGAAGAAGATATGCTTGACAAATTAAATTAATGAGTGATGAGTTGACCTTTTCATTTAAAACGGCAAATGTTAGTTGGTAAGAGAAGAAAGTTCTCAAGCCAGTAAATCAGATCATATAAAATAGATGGTATAAAAAATTTTAAATCGCAAACTTACAGGCCGTGAATGTTCCAGGTACGACGACCCGCAGCAAAGCTGCATTTATCCAATATTTCATCATGTTAAAGTTTTTTTCCAGTTTGTCCGAATGGAAGTGACCTTATTTTTTTGCCAGTACCTGAAAATGCAAAACATTAATAAAAGAACTATGTGCAGGAACGGTAAATGAACTGCAAATTATCTTTTTACTAATTTTAAAATCGATATACTGCAGTATTTCGCGTCAGTGTTGTTTTTTTATATGCTGAAATTAAAAGCTAGCCGGATTTATTGAACTTTGAATAAATTTATCATCTTTAATTTTTTTATTTTTATTTCAGTCATCATTATGTAACATATCATCATTAACCGTGATGCAGAATTGTTATCATAAAATTTTTTATTATGATTTCATCGATTTCTCATAAAACTAAAAAAAAAGGAAAAAATACAAAAGTCTAGAACCATAAAATTGCTATAAAAACTTTCTAGTCATTTTGTAATATAAGAAATTATGACGACAAAGTAGATTTCAATGCAAATAAAGCTGTATGACAAGCTAGAGTGTTGTCTTTCTTGGGAACACTTGTCAAAGATTCTCGAGTGGAACAAGAAGAATGCACTATGCGATTAAATATGGATAGTACTTTCATATGTTTCATTCTCTACTTTACACTCTTCAATTTAATTATTAAAATAGAAAACCAGGGCAAAGTGGTCATGGGGAACAGAGAAATGAAATGGCCTCTCCTACAAAATTCAAAAAATCAATTCTTTCATATCTCTCTAAAATCATTTTTATTATTTTCAATCATAAACTATTAAATTTAAATTCAATTAAAGTTTATCAAATAAAATCAAATGGAGGATTACTAGAATAAAATTCTTTTACAAAAATTCAACTTCCTTCCTTGTTCAATTTTTAATTTAATATTTATTGTGATTGATTGATCTGTTTGTCAGCAATGGTTTAAGTCTACAAAAGGTTTATTTAGGAGGGATCGTATGTCATTATATGGACGGAACAACAGAGTTATGTAGGGTGTGATCAATCGTTCGAAATTTCGGTTTCCGTAAAAAAAATCTTGCCAATAATCAACAAATGAATATAAATAAAATTAACGAGAATGATAAATTCTAACAAGAAAAAACCAAATTCTTTTAATGCAACTTGCATTAATGAAATTAAATCTTTTTATATTAAAATATGAACAACAGAGATAAGAAAAAATTAATAACTAAATTATGAAATTTACATTTGTTTTTATCATTATCAGAGATCGTTAACTGCAAGACCTGATTTGCTTATCCTTTAATGGCGTCACACCCATTAAAAAAGTGAAGACCACACCATGATAATGTTTAGTTTGTTTAATGACAAAAACGATTACATGATATGGAGCACGCAATAACGCAGTATATTTAATTTAAAAGAACACGTGAATCTTTGCTGCTCCAAAGTTAATAAGATGACAATTTATTAATGAGACAGTTCTTAGTTTTATTTATTTAGTTAGTAGTTATCATAGAGTTTTTTTTTAATTACCATAATTTCAGATTAAATGGATCTTTTAATAAATTAAAAATATTCGGGCTAAAATGTTCTTCCTTTAATTATCATGATAATATATTTATAATTAGTTATTTTAAACTTTAGGACCGAGTAATTAAAATGCATTAATTCATTCAAGAGTTGATAATAACTTAATAGCAAAAATAATAGTTTTTAAAATTATTTATACAGTAAATAAAAATAATAACACTCTTGACACAAATTGTCTTAAAAAACTTTTGAAAATTTATCGTTTATAATTCAACTTTTTAATTCATGGGAAATGTTTCTCAATTTATACTGAATTATTTCAGAACATTCATTCTAATTTTAGATTCTTAGTATGGAATGCAAATTATTCAAATGAATTCGATAATCCTATTCGTTTAGTATCTAAGCGTTCAAAAAAAAAATCAGCTGTTCTTGGTACTATTTTTTTGTATAATAGTTGCTGTGATTTATTATCAGCATCTATTCTTTTTTCTTGTACTTTTTCATGCTGATAATTATTTTTTACAGTACATACCGTCACGTTTAATCATTTTGTCATGCAGGAAGTTTATACACTCATTGAACGGTCAGTACAAAGAACATTTATCATTACGGTAATATTTGAACAAATTTATTATCATATTTATTTGAAATGGAACCGCAATTTTTATGCAATATTTTACATTATACGTGATAACAGTATATTGATAGGAAACTATGGGCTATAAATTTAAATCAAAAATTTAAAACTTCTTGATCATCTCCTATATTTAGTATGAATGATAAGCAATCAACAGTTTAGTGAATGTAATTTTTCAGTGTCAACATAACTTTTGTTGGATCGATTTCATGACATATGATATGTATGAGTTATAGGTGACATGTTAAGTTTAACTATTGATACTTAAGTTTCATGGCTTTCTTCAAGTTTTAATATACTATCAATACAGCACATATTTACCTTATTAGTCGCAACCGTAGATATCAAACATTATATCTTTCTGTTGACACACACGATTTTATTTTTTTGGCTCAGGGCTATAACATGAATCTTCACGATCATTAAATTAACAACGTAACATAAAAACTTAATTACTTATAATATCATTTCTTTGTTTAATTCATTCACTTCATTTCGTAATATTTTAGTTATCACAATTTACACAACATATTTTACTATTGTATTCGCAATTGTAATGTGAAGCCGACATTGTTTTTATTGTCAATTCTTTGTAATGTCGTTTAGTAACTGGTTTAAATAGATTAATGTGTCATAGTCATTGTTCTTTTTGTTAATAATAAGTTATCTACTCCGACTGTTATTAACGAATAAAATAATTACTAGACAACTGTCGTCGTAGTCTACACGATACAACCGGTGAACTATAACTGACTGTCACTCCAATCATGCTCACACATGTACATAACAATTCTACGCTCACATGTTCATGACTCTATCGATAAAAAATATTTTGTTATTTACATTACCAACACGTGCCTCAAGAAAATCTACCTTATCGATAAACGAGTGATAATTTAAAAATTTGACTTTTTTTCTTCTGCAAATATAATAAACTATTTTTAATAATATTAAAAACAAATTAACATCTAATTAATATCATTTATTTTATTTCTTTCTATAAACAATACATAAGATACATGTAAAAATGTTTATCAATATTTTTTTAATATAAATCGTATTATTTTATAAGAAGAACATATTTATAGATACACTTATGTTTATCAATTTTTTTTTTCATTTAGGTTATGTAAAAAATATAATAATCATCATTATTTATATTTAATCTTGCTTTATTAGTTTATCAGATTCTAATGTTAGACTATTTGCGTCCAACTGTCTCATCATCCAATGAAAGAATGCAAGTATTGAGAAGCTGAATGAAAGTGGAATAGCTGTTGCTCTGATCCAGCCCCAGATGCTGTGAATGATCATTATTGAAATTTATCGAGTCATTCACTCTCACCAACAGATATGTTACATTAACTCAATGCATACCTATTAGCTGTTTACTTTTAACTATAAAGTAGCCACACATAATTACTGATAATAGGATAATAGCTACATACAGTATTAATCAAAATAAATATAAAATTATTGGACTACTACTTACAAAAGGTGTAAACTAGTAATTTGCTACAAAAGTGTGTAGAGTAAAAGAATATTACGAATGTTATTGAATAAGTATTTTGATTTCTTAATCTAATAGGTGTCAAGTTGAAATAGGTTCTTAGTAGAATGAACTAGGTGTAATTTACTACCATTGACAATCATTTTGATACATCAATTTACGAATGACCTAGTGACTTATAGTCTTATTATTTCTACAATTGCAGCTGGTAGTAGCTAGACCCACCTAAACCCGTCAAAGCATCTATCGTCAGTGTAGTTGGTCACGTAATAAGGATTTACAAGTATGAAGACCGAGTTGTCTAGGGATTGAGACATGTAGGTCAGTTGATATAAAAGACTCATCACCAACAAGTTTATGAAGTCCTTGACATTCATCGATTTTACGACTTTCGCCAATAGTTTGATAAAATTTTTACATACGTAAAGAAATAATTATTAAACTATTTTGTAATAAGTGTAAAATAGAGTAATAATATATAATTAAATTTTGAATTATAAACTAATGATAACTACTAATAAAAACATACGAATCAACACTACATGTACAGAATCAATTAATGATTATTAGTTACATTTAATACAAGTAATGGAAAAAATATTGAATGATTTATAAGCGATAAAAAACATTGAATAAAAAATAATTTACTCATAAGGATCATCAGAAATATAAAAGGGTTCTGGAGTAGGAATTTGTCCACTTTTAAGAATCACCACTGGAACAACTGGAGCATCATTCACGTCCGTTTTAGTTTGCTCTATTCTAAAAAGCACATCCTGACCATCTATTACCTGTAATCAGTAATTATACAAAATTATAGATAATTACCATTTAAGAAATGTAAATAAGAAAGAAACTATACTTTTCCAAAAACTGTGTGAACTCCATCAAGCCATGGAGTTGCAACAGTAGTGATGAAGAACTGGCAACCGTTGGTATTTTTTCCAGCATTTGCCATGCTGACGAATCCTGGTCCCGCATGTTTATACCCGGAATCTTCATCTTCAAAGTATTTACCATAAATACTTATTGATCCTGATCCATTTCCTTTATCAATATCACCACCTAAAAAATGACATTATTTGTTTTATAAATAAATCAAAAATTTAATGATGTTGGTATTTATTAAAGTTATACCTTGGATCATGAATTTCTTGATAATACGGTGAAATTTCGATCCTGAATAAGTTCTACCGTTAATTCCTGTTGTTGCGATTGTTAAGAAATTTTTCACTGTCTTGGGAGCAGCTTCTCCGAAGAGTCCGATAACAATTCTACCAATTGGATAGTCATCTATCATGATATCTAAGAATACTTGATCCGTTACTTTGTAAGATGTAGCCTGAAATTCATTTTTACTTTTTAATTTATTTTATATTGAATGTACTAGCTATCTGATCGTGCAAGAAGCCTTAATAATGTGTTAATTTTTCTAAGAAGTATCCATTTCATCATTATTTATTTCTTCCTAGGTTTCTATTAACTCAATTTATTCTCAAATACCATCCAAAATGCTCAACAATACCGAAAACACTTAGAATCAATTATTATTTAACGTAAATTAGATGATTGCAAGATATAAGACAAACATTGAATAATTTTATAGAATAAAAATTTTTCATTACCTGAATAACAGGACACGTCACTGATATGAAAATTACTACAAATAGTAAATTCATGTTGTAAAAATTGTAAATTTGATGATGATATCAATAATAGATGATTCAGTGAAAGTTAGCAACTTAATGTGTTCAGGTCATCAACGTTCACTAATGAATAAATTTATATCACTATGTAGTAAAAATAGAAGTCAACCGTCGAGATTTTTACGTGATCTGGAACACTAACTCGAGTTAATACACTTCTAGAATTGCCAACTCCGAAGTCAACTACATGCAGCAAACGTGCGAGGGCTAGAATGACGCAGCCCTCGCCTCAATCTCATTTAAAAGGTTCCCAGCTCTGCGCCATACAACGATCGGATTAATTTAATAAAAAGATGTATTATATTGGCAAAAATTTCATCATTATATACTTTATAAATAATTTTCAGAGAATTCGATGAATCATTTTTTTATTTAATTTGAAAAATTAAAAAGACAAATTTCTTATGAAATTTTTAATTTGTTAAGAATCAGAAGATGCATTTATTATTTTTTTAAAATTACAAACCTGAATTGCAGATTTAAAAAAGACTGTAAAGAAATTTACCGTTCGAAAAAAGTACACACAAATAGCATCTGATAATTATTTAGCTTTGTGAAAATGTTTTTTTTTACTTCTCTTTTCTGTAGATTCTTCTCTTCCTGAGTATCAATAAAACGGTTCCAATGCACCCGCGATTGAGATCATACGATGAAAACATCCAAGAGATAGTAGAGGTGTATTAAAGAAAGGTAGTCAGTTACTCGCACCAGGTACCGTTACCACGACCGAGCGGATATTATAAAAGGGCAGCAGATGCGCTAGCAAGGTCAGTGTGTGTCCAGGACAATTAGAAAGATGACGCCAAATAAAAATTATCACACGATTTTCTTGATAGTCTTTGTTTTGATTTCAATTCATTTAACTCAATCATTCATTCTTCCAGAAGTAGAAGTTGGTTCTTCTGAGCCACGTGAGTTTGATGCTTTACCTATTGAAGCTGGTGTCGAGATTTCTGATGCTGTTGTTGTAAAAGCTGTGGAAATCCCTGAAGAAAAAATTACCTATGAAGGCAGTCAAGTATGGAGAGTTCTTGCAGATCGTGAACAAGCTGATTTTGTTTCTTATCTTCAAGAAACTGGAGGTCTAATTTTATTTTCTAAAATCCGAACGCTTAAAAATCATTAAAATTAATTTAGATATCATTTATGATTATTATAACTTGTTTTTAAAAAAATGGTTGAATCTAAAACTAAATACATGTTATGAATAAGTAAATAATTAAATAAAAAATTTGTCGCAGTCTAGTCTAAGCTAAGCTGTTTTTACATAAATAAGTAAGTTAATGATGTAATTAATTGATTTAATTGTAGAAGTGTCAAAGTGGACAGGTAATGATTCCACGGTTGACGTCCTTGTACGTCCAGATATGATTCCACGTGTGTCACGATTCTTACGTGAACGTCAAGTGAAGTATGATGTGATTATCCCTGACCTCCAGCAAGCAATAGACCAAGAGAATCCTTTACCATCCCAGGAAGAACTGGAAGAACTGGAAGGAAGAAAAGGTATTTTTATAGAAGATTTCCTTTTTTACTAAAATAATAGTAGTTCGTTAAGATTGTTTTTATATTTAATGGTATTTACTATTTTATTACTCTGGTCTTTATATCCATCTTTCTTGCCATAGACTGCTTTCCATGATTCTGTAGAGACTCAGACTCATATGAAATTGATTGTATTTTTGCATCTCACTGCTTAATGACACAAGACGTTAAAAGATAATAGAGAAACATAAAAGACTATTGCATGGGGTTATCAACCTCAGTTGAAGTCAAATAGATAACCTAATTCTACGCTTGATCGACAAAACTGATTAACATAACAGTTACATGCTTCATATGTCTGCTTAACACACGTGTTTGGAGTATAATCGTTTAAAGTCAAACAATTTCTCTTTTTTACTCTTCTACTTTCTTTGAATGCTTGCCAAAGTCAATCGCAAAATAATAATAAGCTAATTAAACCTAGTTCTATTGATATAAAATAAATAAATATTTATGACAATGATCATAATGATAGTGATGATGACAACATATTTCCAAGGATGCTTCCAGTGACAAACAAAGATGAACTTTTCTAGCTCGTTACATTTGGTGGAAGCAATTCAAGTTGCGACGTAAATTCCTTATACGACCATATCTCCCTCTTCGTTACCCTGTAGCTAGAATTGATGGTGATGGAAAAGGCAATTGGCAATTCAGGGGTGAGGTTATTGCTTCTAGAGCTTCAATTATATTCAATTCACTGTCAATTACGTATTAGTTCGGTAGAATGTTCATAAAGATCTATAAAAGGAGAAGAATAATCTGTCCAGTAAAAAGAAAACAAATATTTTCATTTAGGTCATCGAATGGAATGGACAAGTTATCATCGGTTAGAAGACATTCATGGATATCTTGATTATCTTGCTGAAACTTTTCCTGAAATTTGTTCAGTGATGTCTATAGGAAATTCTTTTGAAGGCAGACCTTTGAAGGTATTTTCAACTTTTAATAACTTTTTTCAGTAAACTTAATGTTTTTCCTGTTTATCTAGGTCCTGCGCATTAGTAAAGGTGATCCGAATGTTCCTGCTATTTGGATAGATGGTGGTATCCATGCTCGAGAATGGATTTCCCCTGCTTCTGTAACATACATAATTAATTACTTGGTAGAGAATAGTGATGATTTACAAGCAGATTACTATATTTTACCAGTTGTAAATCCTGATGGATATGAATATACTTTCCGGGGTGATCGATTGTGGAGAAAAAATCGAAGCAGTCCAGAGAAAGGTGGTGTTTGTATTGGAGTAGATCTCAACAGAAACTTTGGATATCGTTGGGGAGGTCTTGGAACCAGTAAACAGCCTTGTAGAGAAATTTTTGCCGGTACTGGTCCATTCTCTGAACCAGAAACTGCAGCAATCAAAAATTTCTTTGAAGCCAGTGCAGCTAATTTCAAGGTTATTGATTACTAATTTATTATTAACAGATAATTAAATAATTAATACATTGATATTTATTACTATTTTATTTTTAGGCATACCTGTCATTTCATAGTTATGGACAGTATATTCTTTACCCTTGGGGATATGACAGAAGAGTCCCTCCTGATTATGCCGATTTAGAACGAGTTGGACAACAATCAGCGTTAGCAATGAAGTCTGCAGGTGGTGTTGGAAGTGTTTATACAGTTGGTAATAGCGCAACAACTCTTTACGCTGCTTCAGGAGGTTCTGATGATTGGGCAAAAGCTGTTCTTAAAGTCAAATATGCTTATACAATTGAATTGCGAGATACTGGCAAAAGTGGTTTCATCCTTCCGGCTAGATACATTATTCCTACAGCTAAAGAGGCTCTTGCTGCTGTTTTAACTGTTACTGAAGCCTGCAAAAAATTATAATCGATAAACTACACAACAATTATTGCTATTGTTAATGATTGAGAAGAGTGTGATATTATATTTAATTTATAATGAGCAAATTTATTTTTTTATTCCAATTGTGATTAATAAAAATATAACGTTATATGAGGTAAATATCCTTATTAAGATAATTATTATTCAATATAACTAGTAACAAGTATATATTTAAAATTATCTATGAATAAGTCATATAAATAAATTAGTATTGAATTTAATTTTATATATTATTAAAAAACAATCTAAATAAATATTTCATAAAATACTTATATAGTAAATGTACTCATTGAAACATGTTTAAATATTTAAAAATCCCGCTCATTTGACTCGAGTTGACAACTATTACCGTAGCTCAGTTGACTTTGGAATTTTGCCGTATTTCCGGTCCGAAACAGTGTAATGGCCGACTTCGCGTTTCACTTATTATTTCTCCCTAACTTCATGATTGTTGTGTCTAGCATTTGTTTGAGCTGAAGTTCGTCTTTGGTCGATTTTCAATCTGTCTCATGTGTCAAAAAATAACAAACATGAAAATGTGTTTATTTAATTCAAATTATATTTATTACAATTGACTATAAATAAAATTCTAATAGTTCAAAGTTATTATTGAATACGAAAAGCTTTATTAATTTGTACATAAACTTAGATGTAAAATTTATATTACTAATTTAAATAGTAATATTTTTTAAGTGACTACATTAATTATTGTTTAAATAATTTTTTTGAACTTTCCTATTAATTGTTACGTAAAAACTTTTTATTATGGGCTCATCAGTTCTAGTGTGTCCTATGTGTTGTGGCGAAACTTTTAACAATTCGCAGTCACTTAAATATCATTTATTAAGTATGACTGATAATTTATATTGTCCAAGTTGCTCTCAGAGATCGGATTCTATTGCTGCTTTAATTCAACATTTAGATAAATGCGATGAAAATGTTGCTAACGCTCTTCAAATGGACTGCAATGGTTACAAAGATGAACATACAGAAATTCTGATGGTATTAAAAATACAATTCCTTTCACTCTTAAAAAAATTAGACTATTAAAACAACATCTGTTAATTAATAAATAAATTGTTTATTTTATTTTATTTAGGATACAAATGTTGAAGAAATTAATGAGAGTTTTTTAGCAACTGTAAACCATCAAGAAATTATGATTGTCGGTGAACCAAGAACAATAGAAGTTGACGAAAATGGTAATTACTTAGAAATATTATTTAATAATGTTTTTGTATTAAATATTTATTTACAGGTGAAATCAAAGTTGTTAATTCTATGGATTTAAATGGAAAATCCATTAAATTTCAATCACTTAATGTTAAAGCAGAAAATAATGGTGTTCAATTGAATACCAATCATTCAGAATCCGAGGAAAGAGATCTAGATGGAACACCTGTGATAAGTATTCCAGAATCAATGAGTGATAATTCAGACTCAAGAAATATGATAGCTCTTTTAGCAGATGGAACAGAAGAATATTTAGAAAGTGATGAAAATTTAATCGAAATAAAACGTCACGATAATGAAATTGAAGACGATGAATTATTAAAAGTGAAACAAGAGCTCTGCGAGGTAAAAAATGAAGAGGTAACAAATATTTTTATGAAAAAAATATCCAAAAACAAAATATTTGCTTTACTTTTTCAAATTGCTTCATATATTTAGCTACTTCAAATATAATAAAAAAAACGATGAATTGAATTAAAATAAATTTCACAGACAGATTCTGCAGCAATCTACAATTGTAGCAGTTGTGGGATGAGTTTCAATTCAGTCTTAGATCACATTAAAGAATTTCATGATGGTCAAGAAGTAGTTTTGGAAATGGTAGAAGACATTTCTGATGTTTCCGAACCTTTACAATTTGAAAAGGAAGTTCCAGAGCGTGTAACTCGTGGAAAACATCGACAAACTATGAACACGTTAAGAACTGAAGAGTGTATTGATAGTGAAGGTCGACTTTATACTAGAAAAGTAGTTCAAATTGAGAGATTTTGGGATAAAAATGCGTTAAATACGTCTCACACTACACCAAAGCCAGCATCAATGATTGAAAAATTTTTCTCTAATGCTGAAGGTGTTGAAACACAAGGAAAAAGTCAAATGACTACAAAACGTTACAAGTGCAATCAATGCTTAGAAGAGTTTGGTAGATTAGGGGAATTTCGTGCTCATGCATGTTTGAATGGAACTAATCAATGTGATCGTTGTGATCAAGCTTTTACATCAGCTAAAGCCCTTCAAACTCATTTAAAACTTCATGATAATAACACTAGTAATGGACAAAAATCTTTTATTTGTAAAATATGTGGCACAGAATTTATTTCACATAAAAGTTTAAGATTACATTCAAGAATGCATGCTCCAGTTAGAGCTAGACATGTAGATGCTCCTGAAGGAAAACCTACGGCAAATTTTACCTGTCTTGAATGTGGTAAGTTTATTTTCATTTAATTCTAACCGCCATTAAATCTCAAAATTTGTATTCGATAAAATTAATTATATTTAATTTTAGGAAAAACTCTTTCTGAATCTTATCGAGAAGCTCACATGGCTTTACATACGGGAGATACAGTAACTTGTGCAGTTTGTAACAGAAAATTCGACTCTGCCGATAGTCTAGCAATGCACGCTGCAGTTCATCCAGAATTAGGAATTCAAAATAGTCAATCTCAAAATCAAATCGAAATATTCGTAAAACCATCATCACCTTCTCCTACACTTCCAGATCCTTCCTCTTCCTTTAAAATTGTAAATGTGACGAATTCTAAAAATTCAAGTTCAGTGGAAAATGATAATGGAGATGCTCTAAAACCATACCAGTGTCAACATTGTGGAAGAAGATTTACTAGACCGCATGAAAAAGTAAAACATGAAAGGATTCATACTGGTGAAAAACCACACGCTTGTGAGGTAAAGAGAAAAATAAATATTTTTTTTTGTATTTATTAATAAGTAATAATAATTTTTATAATTTAGGTCTGTGGAAAAACTTTTAGAGTTTCATATTGTCTCACACTTCATATGAGAACGCATACAGGAGTACGTCCATATCAATGTCAACATTGTGGCAAACGATTTAAAGCATCTTCTGTTTATAACCATCATCTTTTAACTCATGGAGATGAAAGAGCGTACACATGTCCCTATTGCCCGAAAACCTTCAAGACACGAGTTCAACTAGCTGGGCATAAAAATAGTCACACAAAACCCTTCCGTTGCACTGAATGTTCGCGACCCTTCGCATCTCTATATGCAGCTAGAGCTCACATTCAAACTCACAAAAAGGACAATAATTTGAAATTTAGTTGTATGATTTGTGGAGCATCGTATGGACGGGCTTTTGCATTAAAAGATCATTTAAAAGTGCATGATCCTGATGTTTTAATGCCTCCAGAACCTGCAAGAGAAGAAGAAGTGCACGAAGCTTTCTTACTCGATGAAGAAGAAGAAGTGCTGGAAGAAGAATTAGTGAATTCTGGCATCCAAATTTCAATAGATGAACCTGAATGATCTTAGTTTTTCTTTGTGAATTGTTGAAGTTAATTAATTCTATTTTAACAAAAATAATTTTTATTGTTTTCACATTGTGTTAATGATTGATAAAAGTTTTTTAGTATGAACCCAAAAATTTTGTATTATCAAAGTGGCCTTGAGAAACATTTCATAAATTAACTTGAGGAAATCATACAAACATGATTTGAAATCATTATTGATAATAATAAATTAAAACATAATTCGTACAAGATTACTTTGCAATCAAATTTATTAAATTTTCCTAAAAAAACATCGATTAATTATTAAAAAAATTTTAATTTTAATTATTTAATACTTATTAATGTTATAAAACTGCGTTTTCAGTGCTTAAAAATATTTTTATTGATAGATTTTCTATGTACTAGAAAAAATTGAAGTACAAAAATCACGATTCGAATACTTCGATGAATGATTCAATTATTTTTTTTAATAAAAATGTAAAATAAATAATACACCTCGAAAAAAAAATTGGACTTATTTCTGAAACGGCTTTATTGGATACTTTATTCATCTAGCTATCATTTTACTTAACATGTGTAGAACATGTACCAAAGCAATTTGTTATATCATTCATGACGTATTTCACTCAATCTTCTACTCATCCATTATATAAGGTCATCAAGTCTGTGAATTTAACGCGCAGTTTTTCGCAAATATCAGTCAGTATCATTTTTGTCTTTGTCCAGGCAAGATATAATAAAATTAATTTCTAAACATTATGTAAAAATGGAAATATATTTTTTGTTGTACGTGGTAACTGCTTTAATCGGAGCACTTATTGCTTATTATTTTTTTTTCACACAAAATCGATTCGAAAAGCATGGAATACCAACTCCAAAAAGATTATCATATTTATCAAACTCTATACGTCTTCTTATGCGATCATTGTCAATGGTAGATAATATTGAAAGTCTTTATAGTATTAATAAAGATGCAAAATACATTGGATTTTACGATTTTCATTGGCCAATTATTATGCTTCAAGATTTAGAATTGATAAAAAGTGTAACAGTGAAAAATTTTGATCATTTTGTGGATCATCGTTCATTTATTGACCCTGAATTGGAACCATTATTTGGTAAAAATCTTTTCTCTTTGCGTGGTGATAAGTGGCGAGAAATAAGAACACTTCTAAGTCCTGCTTTTACATCCAGCAAAATGAAAGCTATGTTTATATTAATGTCACAATGTGCTGAAAATTTTGCGAGTCTCTTAGTTGAAAAATCTAAAGGAAAGCCGATAGAAATTAATTCAAAAGACGTTTTAACTTTTTATACAAATGATACGATAGCAACGTGTGCGTTTGGAGTTGCTGTTGATTCAATGAAAGATCCAAATAATGAATTTTACGTCCTTGGAAAGAAAGCTACAAACTTTAGCGGAGTAAATATGCTAAAATTTATGATGAGTCGAATTTCCCCGAAGTTGTCAAAATTCATTGGTTTAAAAATGATATCAAGAGATGTAGAAGACTTCTTCTATCAATTAATTCGTGACACAATTGCTATGAGAGATGAAAAAAATATTGTACGACCTGACATGTTACAACTGATGATGGCAACTCGAGGAAAGGGAAGCGAAAGTAAAAATCCTGAATTAAGTATTGAAAGTATGACATCTCAAGCATTTATATTTTTCTTTGGTGGATTCGATTCTACATCTACGCTTATGTGTTTTGTATTCCACGAAATTGCAGGCAATTTAGAAATGCAGAAAAAACTTCAAGATGAGATTGATGAAGTTTTTGAAAAATCTGATGGTAATCCAACTTATGAAGCAGTTAATAATATGGAATATCTTGATGCAATCATCAATGAATCCTTGAGAATGTATCCTATTGGACTAATGTTAGATAGATTGTGTACCAAAAGATTCGAATTACCCCCTGCTGTACCAGGAGGTAAACCATATGTTATCGAACCAGGCAATAATATTTGGATACCAATTTGGTCAATTCACAGAAATCCAGAATACTTTCCAGAACCAAATAAATTCTTACCTGAAAGATTTCTTGAAGGAGGCAAGGAAACCTTTAATTCATCAGCTTATATGCCTTTCGGACTAGGACCAAGAATGTGCATTGGAAATCGATTTGCATTATTAGAAACTAAAGTGCTTTTAATACACTTCTTTAGAATGTGTAATGCTAAAATTGCAAAGAAAATGAAAATACCATTAAAAATTAGCGCAAAGACTCTAAATTTAATGGCCGAAGGAGGATTTTGGCTGGAGATTGAACCAAGAAAATAAAAAAATGAGTAAATATATTACATAATCAAAATATACACGAAACTAGTTTTATAAACTATTAAAATATTATAGAAAATTACTATATTTCAATAGCCTTTGATAACTGATTGAATCCAAGGCACATAAGGATGGACTCGAGTGTAAATATCAGGGGATCCCGATCCACATTCATAACCCATTGATACCACTCCTACTACTTCTCCATTCATGAGTAAAGGACCACCGCTATCACCCTACAATCAAGAAAAACAATTTTACTTATAAATAATGAAATAAAAACAACGATAAGATTATAATAAAGGAAATAAATCATAAAAGATAAGATTACATCACAAAATCCAATTCCTTGGCTATAGACTCCACAAAGATGATTTTCATTAATTTGATAAGGAATTGATTGTAAACATTTTTCATTAGACAATGTGATAACAGGTGCTTGTTGTAACCAGTCTGAAGTACGTCCAGAGAATGCATATAAATATCCCCATCCTAGTACGGTAGCGTACAAATCACTACCACAATAGGTATTTGGAAGCCTAACTACTTGATGAGTTGCATCACGTTTTACTGTTTCTGTCAACTTATGAATACATAAATTATGTTAATAAATTTTTTATTAAGTAATTTTTAACGTGTGAATTTTTACCTCTATGATACCAATATCATCTCCATGCCAATCTACAGATCCTTTATAATTTGGATGAATAATTAATTGTTTAGGCTGATGAACAAATAGTTTTAATGCTGCATTACTACTTCCTGAGGCGATTGATATATCATTTAAATTAAATAGTCTTAAAGTATTAGTCTGATCTTGATATGCTAAACAATGAGCTGCTGTCAAAATGTGACGCATAGTAATAAAAACTCCTCCACATAAATGTGAACCATGTAATTGAATAGAAACTAACGCAGGATAATCATATATCGAAGCAACAGAACCACCTACAATTTTTTTAGGTGGTTTCCCATTGACCACTTAAACATAAATAAATTTTTTTTTGAGTCATTTATCATAAATTTATTGATAAAACTGTAAGAGAACGAGCAGAAGTATAATAGCAAAAGTAGAATACTAACCTTGATATGCTAAAATATTTGTAATCACAAAAATGAAACGAATAATGTTTTTTCGAGTCGACATTATGAACACAATATCTGTTTCAAGTAACCAAAAAATTTAAGAATGAATGGGATTTTTCAATTACCGGTTTTTATACACTTTCTTATCATGAATAAAAATGAATAAATTGCACAATTATGTAAGTAATTGATGAATAATGATTGAATTTTATATTATAAAGAAAGGAAAGAAATGAACAGGTATTTAAATAATCGTCACATTAATTATCAACAATGAACACATTATCATGATTATTTGTTTTTAGCACCCGTGCAAATTGTATCGTAGATATTTCCAAATCAACTTTAATATTTATTCATTATTTGTTCCACCTGTGTCCTTGTTGAATTGTTATTATAAAATCTGATATGTGTAAAAATATAATAAATTATCGTAATAGATTAATTCATAAGTAATGAACATTACAGGAAGCATTATTTTCCAAAAAACGGATTAAATAAATAAAAAATCCAATTCGGCATTTGACGTAATAAAAGAATCGAAAAAACCTTGCTCTTGCTGTATCACATTTTTAGGTGTGTATAAAAACATCAATCGGCTACACACATTTAACATGCATATATCTTTCCTTATTTCATTCTGTGGCCATTGATGATTTTTTCTCTTTCTTCATTCTCATCACGTTACACTTGTGACCTCGAACACAAGTGTCAGAATCAACATTACAACACTACAATTAATTGAAAAAAAATTCAATGTCAAATAAATATTATATAATTATAATTTAAGAATGCTGAAATGAACTTACAAAGACATAAAAAAATTTTTTTTTGTATGAAATATAAAAAAGTAGTTCCAAGCTTTCAATAAAAGTATTTTATTGCTTTTAATTTTATATTACATATACAGATTAAACATTAATTTTTTCTTCGATCCATGGAACGTACGAGTAAACTCTAGTATAAACATCGGGATATCCAGCTCCACAATCGTAGGAGAGTGATACAATACCAATAACGGTATTGTTTGCTATCAAAGGACCACCGCTGTCTCCCTGTACAAAAATAATATATATATTGTATAAAATGAAAACTTTCTTATCGAAAAATAAAAAAAAAAGGAAACTCACATCACAAAATCCGAAGCCTTTGCTGTAGAATGCACACAGTTGACCATTACCAACAACATTATGGGTCCGAAGACGACAGTCCCAATTACTTAAAGTTATTGCAGGTACTTTTTGAAGAACTTCAGCAACTTTCATTTCACGAGGATATGTAGTGCCCCATCCTGCAACAGTAGCATTTTCTCCTACTTTGCAGTCAACACTTGGTAGAGATATAGGAAACTGTGATTCAGGATCTGCGACGACGTCTGCTCTTAACTATAATAATGAAATTTCATAAAATAAACTCGGTTCAATATGAATTATAAAGTATTGATGATGAAAAAAAGATAGTTTACTTCAATGACACCAATATCGTTGAAGTGGGCATTTTGTGCTCCGACATATTGAGGATGAACATGTATTTTTTCAACTAAGTTGACATTTTTAGGTCTCAAACAGTTATTGCTACCAGAAGCGACGGTTATTTCCCAAGGAGAGTATGGAATGATTTTTTTTGTCAGCGGAAGTTCGTCGACCAAACAGTGAGCGGCAGTAAGGACGTGTTTAGGGGTTATCAAAACACCACCACAGATATGTCTCCAGCGGTAACGTACAGAAACAATTGCAGGGAATTCACTTATAGCAGCTTCTGAACCACCGGTTATTTTTGCTGGTGGTTTACCATTTATTTCTATAAAAATAAAAAAAGAGTAAACATCAGTTAATGAAGAAAAACATAAAAGTAATTTTTTGCTCTTTAATTAGTAATTGATGATGATTGATATTTAATAAAAAATTATGCTTACCATAAATAATTGTGAAAAAAATTAAAAATAAATTAGCACAAACTAATGCAGTTTTTATTGACATGATTATTTGAATGTTTAACTTTTTTTATCTAAACTAAAAAAACTACTAAAGAATGAATGAATAAAAATGGATGAATTGAGCTTTTTATATGCAACGTTTCTTATCATTTGTTATTTCAAAAAACGTAATTGCAACTTCTGTGCTGCAACTGTATAATTTTTAATTATTTACAGTAATGACGTTAAAAATGCGTTTATTTGATATTGTTTTATATACAATTTGCTTTAATTAAGAGAAAAGACGTCAATTGATTTAATATATGCAGTTTTGATATTTGTTATACCAGGAAAAAAAGGTATCTTCAGTGATTTTGTGAGTTTATTTTCCGGTAAAAAAAATATGTAGTTGATTAAATATTGGTAAAATTTTATTCTTGCAAAGTTTAACTTGGATAAACAGATACACATTTAATTGTCGTACTTCTCTGTTTGTGATGATCGTTATTTTTTGTTATTACATAATGATAATGTAATAACCTCATAAAAAGTAACAACTAATTCTCATGGAAATAAATTTTTTTGCAGAGTGAAAATGTGTGATTGTTTAGAAACGAAAAAAATTTGTCCATTTTTTCACAATCATCCATATGAGTCAAATGATGATGAAGATGATGATACTAACAAAAATTCGTATGAGAATGAAGATAATATTGAAGAAAATTCCAGTGAGCTGTCTTTTATAAATGAACATTTCGAAGGAACGGTAATTAATAAATGGTCTAATAATATAATAAGTGGATAAGATTATTACAAATAATATTAAAAATTAGAAAGAATCTTCTGGTGAACTTGATAACTTCAGTGAAAATAATTATGAAAATAAAAAAGAGGAAAAATGTGATGATGATCCAAATCAAAAATGGAAAGTCGTGGCAAAAAAATTAAAAACATGTCAAAAAAGCAAGAAAAAAAAATCAAAACAAGAACGTGATATAGAATTCACATTGGCAATCATAAAACCGGATGCTTTGCAGTATCGAAGGATCATTAAAAAAATCATTATTGATGAAGGTTTTGAAATTTGTAATGAAAAAAAGTTACAGATGACAGCTGATCAAATGTTTGAATTTTATTCAAGAAAAGATGAAAAAAGTGAACTGTCAACTGAAATTGATTACATGGTTTCTGGTCCAATTATTGTACTTGTACTTTGTAAACATCAAGCGGTAAATGACTGGATAGATTTGATTGGTCCACAAAAAGTACGTTTATTAATTAATTTAAATGGTTAAAAAAATTGTGTTAATCATTTTCCAAACTAGGTATCAGATGCTATTCTATATTTTCCTGATAGTATTCGTGCAAAATTCGGTAATAAACAAGATGATTACAAAAATGCAGTACATGGGAGTACTTCTTATAAAATAGCACAAGAAGAAATAAAATTTTTCTTTCCTAACTGTAATAGAATAAAGACGTTATTTTATTATTTTATTACATAAATATTTCATAAATCAGCTCATTATCATATCTACTTTGCAGTCATTTTTGAACCAATCTTAACAGGATATGGTATAGAGAGTTATTTACAGAACAATATCTGTGAAATTTTAAGCAAAGGAATTATACATGCAAGCTTTTTAATTTAATTTTCATAAATTTAATAATTTAAATTTTTTATAAAAATTTTCTTTTTCTTTTAGTGTTGTAAAGAAAAATCTGAAGATCCATTATTGTGCTTAAGTAAGTGGCTGCTTGACAATAATCCAAATAAGCCAAAGACTATTATTAAATAAGTTCAAATATTTATTTATACAAAATAATTGAACATTTTAATGATCAATTATTAAAATCATCATTTTTACATATAATTTCAAATTCTATCTCCATCAGAGATATTTACTATTTACAATAAAATTACATTTAAAACAATATTGTTATCAAACACAAAATAACATTAATATTAATTTACATTTGGACATTTAAAACATAGAAAAATAAAAAAGAATCATTTTTTAATGACATTATTATTACTATTATTATTTGACTTGATTGGAATACCTATTTAATTTATATTATTTTGTTATTCATGTAACAATATAAAAAATAAAAGTATTTACATTTTTCTAAGGAATAAATCCTTAAATATCATCTAGTAAGTTATTCGTGCTTTTAGGAACTTTAATTATAAGGTAAATTATAAAACAACTGTAAAATACGATTTGATTTAATTTAAGATTGTTTTTCAGACTTTCGTCGTTGCTAATAATTTAATGTAATGTGCTTTGTGTGTAATTTCAAATTCTTGGGCAGGAAGAAAACATTGAGTTTGTATTTGTTGGGGTTTTAGTTTCCTAATCAAACTACGAATAACAAAAATAATCGTAATTAATAATGCACATATTGCTACCACAACAGCAATAATAATTAATTCTGCATTTTGTTTGAAAGCTTGAACTTCTACGCATCTCGATCGACCTTTGTTTGCATCATTTTCAAGATCATTATGGTCCATAAAATCACTTAAGCTGGCACACACTTTGTACCTTCCAGGAATTAATCCAGTCATTTCTGCATATGTTAATGTACAGTTTAGTTTCTTTCGATGTAACGCAGATTCGCCAGCAAAGACGACAACAGACAGTTCACAGGCTGAGTTCATAGGATCAATTGCAGATGACAGACTTACGTCAACGTGAAGAAAGCCTTGATCCGATACATTAACATGAACTCCGGTGATTTGATGATGGAAGTTTTCAATGAAAGAAACAGTCGTTGATGGAGCGATTGGTAAAATTGGTTGTTTATTTACATCTTTCCAAGATGATTGAGTTTCTTCTAAAGTGATCACATCACTACATCCTAGACCTAGTGATAAATCATCAAATTCAGAAGGAACAAGAAGAACGACACAAAATCGATATTTATGTTTAAGTTGTAAATTCATTGAACTTGGGATTGCTACCGATAATGAGCATGGATCTCTCATTAGCCGAGAATCACAATGAAGTGTGCTTGAATCAATTTCAACTTCAGAATTACCAATAGCTTCATAAACTATTAAACTATCACAGGTGTATCTTTCATTACATGGTTCTACATTCCAAAGTATATTCATCCCGGTCGTTTTATCATAATGAAATTCTTTTAGTGTCAATTGCGCGCTGGCAAGTGGAACTTTAGTCATCATTGGCGGAGTGGGTTCACCGCAAAGAAGACTTCCTGGAGATACTTGAGTAAGTATTCCATTTTCTAAAGCTGGAGGCGTCGCACATACTGCTGAGGTTTTGTCTTCTTCATCTAATGTTGAATTATTAAGCCAATTAGCGAAGTCTAAAAGTGTACAATCACAATTAAGTGGATTATCAGCAAGTGAAAGACGCTTTAATTTAAGTTTCGACGTTGGAACATCGTTTGACACCATGGTAATGTCATTATCATCTAATCGTAGATCCTGAAGGCTTACTAAAGGTACTATCAAATCAGCAGTAAGAGACCGGAGGAAATTATGGGTGAGATCGAGGGCTACTAGTTTTTCTAGATGAGCCAAAGATGCACTTGATACGGCAACGATTCGATTACTTGCAAGATTCAATCGAGTTAAAGTCGATAAATACTTAAAAGAATGGTCTTCAAGAACATCAATCTGAAAAAAATATTTAACTATGAATGACAACTTGAAAAAATAAAATTAGTCATTGATTACAATCAGTGAACAATTTTAAATATGACTTTATTTTACCTGATTATGGCTTAAGCTGAGCGAGGTTAAATTACGAAGACCAGAAAGTGCACCATGTTGAACATTTACGAGTTCATTTTCAGATACTGTAAGAAATTTCAACTTCGGCATTGACGGCAATAAATTGGGTCCCAAGGGCCCAATGAGTAAGTTGCTAGAAAGATCCAGTTCCTCGAGATTCTTAAGTCCTCGCAACGCTGACAAGGCTGATACACTCAGACGATTTCCTCGCATCTTCAATGATCGAAGAGCCTTCAATGGTCCGAAAGCTTGTGGAGACAATTGGGACAATAAATTGTCGCAAAGGTCCAGGTATGTTAAAGTTGCAAGGCCCTGCAATAGCCACAAAAAGTAGTATAACTTTTAATCAAACGAATTAATTGTGGGAAACAATGCTAATGCTTAAACTTGTCTCATTCGACTTGTTGTTCTGAATTAATATCTTCAAAGAGTAAGATTGATTGGCAGTAGAGACTTTGATTGTAGGAACGGCAAAAAACATTAAAAGATCTTGATTGATGACGTTGAAAAAGACTCTATAGTAAATAAATTTAAAATTTTCTTTGGGAATTGACTACCGGCTGCATAATAATTGAAAAATTGACTTCGTATTAAGGAGTTTTTGCTGAAATTTTTATTCATCAATCAATGAAATGAAAAAAATTGATTTACCTTGAAAGAATGAGCTTCAAGAGTATGTAATTTATTGCGTGAAAGATCAAGTCTATCTAATCCAATAAGATGAGCAAGTGCTGATGTTGGTACAGCTTCCAATAAATTGTTGGGAAGTCCAAGAGCTTGAAGTGGTCGTACTAAAGCGGTAAATGCATTATCATTAACTCGGCGCAATTCTCCTGTGGAAACTACAAGACCATGAAGTGCAACATCTTCCAAAAAACGGGCTGGAAGAGTTGAGATGCCTGTTACTGTTAAGTCTAGAAGAGATATTGTTCCATCTCGATTGCTCTTCAAATGTTCATTTATCGTCTTCAAGAAGAATAAAAAAAATTAATAAATAGTACAAAAATGATGAATTAATGAAAATAAATTTACAAACCTGTAATGAATTTTGATCACCAATACATCTTAAAGTATGCGGAAAATCACATGAACATTCAACTCCACTTTTAGTAATATTTGGACATTCCCATGGAATTTCTGTAGTTGACAATAATTTTGATATTTGTACAGATGTTGAACTCGAAGAAACCATCTCAGTGACCAATTCTCCTTGAGATAATGAAACTGATGTGTTTATATTTAATTTTTGAGAATATGATGCTGATCTTGAAGATAATTTAGATATCGTAAATGGTGATAATGTAGTAGATGTTTGCACACTTCTAGCATTTTTTGTTTGAGTGTATTGAATTAATGTTATTACTGTAAATAGTAATATTACTAAGCTTCGGGTGGTTTCCGTCATCCTGTAAGAAAATGAAGAATTTATTTAATATTTAGTTTATAATACAGTCGACTCGCGTTATGAGTCCGCACTGCCTAATTTAGTTTTAAGACATTCCCCCACTACTAAGTACAAAAAGCATTATTTTTCTTTTAAAAAGCATTATGAGTCCGCATTCCATAAGTTTATTTTAATTAACAAAGGTAAAATAAAAACTATTGTTTATTTGTAAATTAAGTTTATTATAATATTTCATCAATATTTCCGTAGATTATCCATTATATTCTAAATAACAGAGTTAATGTAGTTTAATTGACGATCATACAAAAGATGATATTCATGATAAATTCAATTTTGAATTTATTTTTACAGTAAAATATGTAAAATTGTCACCTTTTGGCTACGGTCGATTCGCGAATGAAAATAATGTATAATTTGTTCTATCAAAATGAGCGGATTCATAACGCAAGTCGGCTGTACATATTGATTTTTTTTATATAGCCAGGCTGAGTGAAAGATTTTTTCGAAAAGTAAAACAGAAAATCTGATAGTGATTCGAAGAATGCAATCTTTCCAAACCTGATTGCCATTTGTCTTTCGCCTGTTCTTCCTTTTTATCGCGCCTTCAGCCCGTGAAATTCTCACGTCAATGTGAGAATGTCGATTAACGGCAAAGAATGAGACGACAATTTTATTTGCTTGTGGGTTTGATCGTAATCAATCAACGTCTCGAAATCCTAATGTGTTAAATGCCAATGAAAAATTTCTGGTGTTTTCATTGGTTTCTGTCAAGTTTCAAGTCAAATGTCTTTATTTTCGTGTCTTCACTCTAAACAAATGATTCTACTCATAATACATCTCGATAACATCAATCTCTACATGTAATTTAAAAGACATACATTATAACAATTACTCTAGCAATTGATTGAATTCTATTCAATTCGAAATGGCAAATGAATTTTTCAATCAAATATGGTTAAGTGCTCAAAGCGATATTGAAGATTTACAATTAACAGATATTTATTTGCAAGAAAATCAAAATCCATTAAATAAGGATATTGCTCTGAAACAAATATTGCCAGTCTATTTAAGGTAACGATGAATGGTTATAATTGTGAGAAATAGAATAAATATGATTTACATTCATCGAAATAGATATCGAAATATCGTTAATCGACTAATTTTATGCTGTGACCGGATCGTTCAAAGTCAGAAGAGAGAATTGGTCAAACGTTTACTCAACTGTTGTATTGGACGTATGCTTGAATATAAAAGAGAAATTGTGAAATTAAACTGTTCAGAATACGAGTGGGCTTCAAATAATAATTTATTAATAATTATACGTCTATAAAAGTAAAAAAGATCATAACATAAAATAATTTTTTCTCCAGATGGCCAGATGATCTTTTAATTAAAATGAAATGGACACCAGATGATGTTGGAGTATCTTCACCGTCCAGTTATATTTCTGATCGCAATGATCAATTAAAAGAGCGTAGAAATTTTATTGATAGTTTAATAAAGTTAACTGAAGATTCTGGTAAATATATACTTATATTTATTGAATTTTTTCATGATTAACTCGATTCATTTTAATGCTACTTTCATTTGATTCCAGAATTAGCTGAGAAAGTTGAAAGTAATAACAGCAATTTACAGAATAATTTAATATTAACTAACTTAAAGGTAACACAGTCTCAGATAGAAAACTTGGACGAAACATTTGAGGAAAAATTCAAGAGAGCTATTTTGACAATTCAAAATCATGAAAGAGCAAGAATTGCTCGTAAAATTGCTATTCAAAGTAAAATATTTAATCAAATGTACCTTCCCATGACATTTATTATTTTCAGAAATTAATAAATATTTTTTTAGTTGAAATGGAGAATGAGTACAGGAGGAAACTACGTACTGGAGAAATAGAATTTAAAGATGTTAAAAAAGAAACAATGCGTAGAGCTGCAATAACGATACAGAGATATTGGAGAGGATATCTAGCACGAAAAAAACTAAAAAATCATTTAAATAAAGTTGAAGAATTATTAGACATGAGTATCCCTAGCAAGAAAGATGATAGTATTTTTCTGGAGGATAATAAAAATTTACAAATAATATCAGTATTACAATCAAAAGCGTTAGATCAATTACAAAAAGAAATTAATCGAGAAGAATCTCAAGTAACTATACTATTTTGTGTGTAATTAATGAATAAAAATTAATTATTAAAGGGTATCTGTTTATTTAGATCACTAAAAATAAACGATTATCAATAATAGAAGATACAATTGATGAAATTCGTGAATGGTTGGCATTTTGGTATAACGAAGTGGGTTATTTCGGAATCTATCCTTCATCAAAAGAAGGAGGTTCAGTATTGATAACCACAGAAAATGTATTAACACCACAAGAATTTGTTGCTCAACTATCGGAAAAAAATCAAGAAGATAAAAGAAATTTAGGAGATAAAAAAAAATCGAAAGAACAAAAAAAGAAAAATATTGATACTTGGGTGATGCCAAAATCAAAGGTTCTGGAAGTTCTTTTCCAAGTAAATCAAGAGTTTAATGATAACTGGAGGAATCAAGTCAACACACACGCTTTTAATCGAGAGATAAATATTGATTTGGTAAAACAACAAATTTATTTCAAGCTTCATAAAGAAGTGCGGACTATTGTTGATGATTTGATGATACTTGAATTAAAGAAACTCAATGCTGCTTTAAAAAAAGACCACAAGAAAGATAAAGAAAAATTTGAAATTCCTGGAATGAAAAAAGGTTTGAGAGAAAACAAAACTAATAGTTTGATCGAATTTTTTATCTCCAAATATAAATGTTAATTGATTTAATCATCATGAAAAAATTTGCTATTACTTATTTGATTTTTTTTTGGTGAAATATTTAGGAAAAAAATCAAAAAAAAAGAAGAAAAGAAAAAAGGAAAAAAATGATGTAGTTGCATCTACTGATGAATTAAATAAAATTTTAACTGAATTAGTGTTCTCAAAAATAATTAAAAACTATAAAGAAGTTAAACTGAACCAATGGATAGGAGATACCTCCTTTAAGAGTCACGAGATTAAAAGTGACAATAAAAACTATCAGTATCAATTAGGTGACATCAAACAAGCGATCTTAGATTACTGCGTTCTTCCATTAGGGTCTAAAGATGTACATTCCATAGCTCCTTTAGTCAGGTATGGCTTATTTTCATCTCATATTCTAGAAAGTTTCACAGAAAAGAATTATAGAAGAATAGTTTCATTTCAGATCAATCTGCATTGTCGGACAGCCTTTTTCAGGTAAAAAATTTCTTGCTCATGCTATATGCAGTGAAGTTGGTGCTCTTTTATTTGATTTAACACCAGCTACTTTAGCTGATAAATATGAAGGAAAAGCAAATGAAGCAAAATTGATGAAGATGATAAAGACGTTGGCAAAAGCTTATCCACCAGCCGTTATTCTTATTGATGGTGGAGATAAGCCATGGTGGAAGAAAATACCTCCAGAGGAGAAATCAACACAACCAAAAAGATTCGCACAATGGTTAAAAAAGTTTATAAAATCAATAAAACCAGGTGACCAGGTATTTGATGTCGTAAACAATTCTTATAAACAATTAACGTATCTGATAGAGTAATTAATCGCAGGAATGGAGATAAAGTGAAGATAATTATCTTTTTCTTTTGGTTATCGATTAATCTCAGTTAATTCATTGCAAAAAGTGTTATCCTTGAATTAAAAGATAACATTCATCACGCACCAATTCAATTTCTGTGCATTTTGCATTGCAACTTTATTAGCATATTTATTAATTACACATAGTTGTAAAGTGTAGGCAAGAAATATTTAATCATAATCGTAGGCGCACGCGTCTGATATTTCCTTTTTATTTTAATATCTTCTTTTACCCCGTTCTTTTTCTCTAACATAGATAGAGATACCCACAGTCAGTGAGAACTTGTCTCGATTCTTCACTTCCCACGCACGATATGGCATCGATAACCTGTCGGCCCGCTGCGGGCGGCCTTGGACATATGTGTAATTTTAAATTGAAAATTTTCAACAATTACTCTTGTTATATTGTCGAATTAATTGGCTAAATACAATATCATTCTATTTATTCTTCTATATTTTTGTATCATTGTTTTTATTCGGGTGTATAATATTTCCATTAAAAGTATACTAGAGTTTTTTTATAGTAGCCATAAAACTTTGGATGGAAGGACTGAGATTAATTCCTATTGACTTTCTTTCAACTTTCTCTTAAAAAAATCAATTCATATTTTACGAATTTTTTATTATATTTTATTAGATTGAATTTAATTCAGTCTAATTAATTATCTACGAAAGTTATATAATAATTTTTAAAATGATTTTTATGTAGATACTTGTTGTGGGACTTGCCTCAGAACCCTGGAAGTCGAAAAAAACTTTTTACAAGATCTACGACAAATTTATCATTATACCGTTATCAGACTACAATTCTCTACATTTATTTTATAACAAACTTCTCATGAAATATCATGGAATTGACAGGAATATTGATATTTCCTCTCTGGCAAGAGCTACAATTGGATATCCATTGGGTTTAATTCATGAAGCTGTTGAAAATGTTTTAAATATAAACCGTCGAATGACTCTTAAGTTTCAACCTCTGCGTGGTGAAGAAATTTTAACTGAATTAATGAAGTGGGAGAGTCCTTCTCAAAAAGATATTAAATTATTTCAAAAATTTGAAAATAAAACTCCACTTGGGAAGAAGAGAATTAAAATGTTGAAGCAATCTAGTTAAAGTGATATTTTTAATTTTTAATATTTTAGCACAGACTATAATTGCTTCACAAATTTCTTCAAAAGTTATCAGAAGTTAAACAAAAAAGAGCTAAAATTATGAAATCATTAAACAGTTGGTATATTTTTTATCAAATAAACTTCCAGAAACATATCTGAAATTAATTTTGGGAATTCAGTTCAAAAAGAAATTTCCAAACTAATACTGAATATTTTTAAGAAATCTGAAATGAAAAAAACGATGTAAACTTTTTTCAATGATGGTCAAACCATTTTAGCAATCAAGACCTTCAATAACTCGATACTACGAGATACAATTCTCGATACAATGCACCGAACCAGTTACTATATTAGTCCTGTATCCACACTCGAGCGAGTTTTTTAGCAACTATACGTGAAGTAGGAGTTAAATGCTTCCCCTTCGCTCTTTTCCTTACCTCAACACGCGTTTGTCGCGTGTACTCACACACGACTTTTCTTCACTGTTCTTTCAGCTTTAGTCTTCTTCTTCTTCCTTCTCAACTTCTCTTCTTTTTTAGCCTATCGTCTTCTTCTTCGTTTCTCTTTATGTCTTTACATTAACTTCACCGTGAATCCATACTCCCACGCCTATACTTCTTCCTTAATTTAACGAGTGATGGCATCGCGATTGATAAACCAGGAAAACCTCTTCTATTATCTTCCTTGTATCAAACACTTAGCACTGACAAATCATCCACGATATATTTTAGATTTATGTACTTGTTTTATATTTTCTCTTTATTCATTCATTTATTCTTCCTAGTTTAACATTTCAAATTGAATGGAAAAAGTTAATTAACCAATCATTTCATATTCAAATAAATACATGTTATATTGTTTTTTCTAGGACCAGGTAGATGAAGAAATGTCACATTTGAATAAATATTATTGTCAATAATTGAAATAAAATTGTAAGTTAGATTTATTCAAGAAAAAAAAACTGTAATGAGCAAAATGATAATGAAATTTAGGAAAAATGATAACAATTGGCTAAATCGATTTCGCGAGTTCAAATGGATAACGGATAACGAAGAAAGGTGGAACGTAACTAAACGTGTGCACACTGGATCACTGGTGGACCCCTTCCTCAGAAAGATACTTTGTCTTTTTCTTCTCGTGGACTTCTCTTGGTTCTTACTCGCCTCCGCTTGTCCACCTCCTCGTGTGTGTATCTTTTCCCCACCATTGCAATCACTTGTACCGTCTCTCTTTCTCTCTGTCCCACGTCGTCTTTCCACATAGCATAGCCATGTATGGAACACCCGGGAACGACGTTCTCTCCCGGCCCTTACGCCCACTTGCTCTCTTGGATCTCTACGCAATACGCATGCAGGTTTATGTGATCTTTCAGTCCCACGAAATCTTCTTTCGTATTTTCTCTTTTCTCTCATCTTTCTACAAGTACATTAAACATTCTTAGTCGTGAGAATGTACACATCTTCACAATTTTTTCAATCAAACTCTTTAATAATATTCTATTATGATGACTGTTGAATAACATACTAAATCCTTAGGAAATTAAACATCCACTTAATGAAATCACAGACTCTAACTTCTTATGACCTTTTTTTTTTTGTTCTTCAAGTAAATAATTAATTCTTTGATAGTATTATTATATTTTTGTATAGTTTAGAAATATCATTTTTGTCCATTAACTGTAAAGTAATATTTAAGTTCTCTGAGAACGACAGAAAAGACAGTTAATGAGGACAGGCTTGTATTTGAAGAGGTAGTGATGACAACAATGAAACTTTGCAGTTCGCCTACCAGTTAGATAGAAAACGCGATGGTTGATTATTATTAATATTTTCCGCATATGATATATTATTAAATTAACTAAAATATTTGATTTATTGTAAATAAATTTAAAATTAATAATTCAATAAATAGCTGTAAAAATTATCAACAAACTTTCATGAAAATCATGATGACTATTAATTTATAAAATACTTTTGTTGTTATAAGTATAAATGATTTATGTATTTTTATTAATAAAATCAATGTGGACAATCCAGTTTATACAGTAATTGTGTTGTTGCACTTTCGTCATCATCACGCTCAAATGAGTTTGTAAAAGGAGGGACTTGTGGAGCTGGCTTAATCTTGGCAGAGAAATACGTGGGAGATCAGGAGTAATGAATGAAATAGCTTGGCTTAACTCGGACCCAAAAGAAAATGATGAAAAAAATCCGTGAATGAAAGTTTGAATACGTTTTAGGACTGTCCCCTCGGTCTTATATAAGTATTTCGATGACGATAAAAATCAGAACAGATGAAAGAATAATGTCAGCATGTTTTTAGTAACAAAGTTTGATTAAACTTTCGATTAAAATCTCTTTTTTTTTAAATTTATTTGTCATGTCATTTAATGTTTAATAATTTTATCTACTTTTATCTATATTCACTAACGATAACTTTTTATATAAAAATTTTTGCAATACAAATAAAATTTGAAAATAGTTAAAAATGGTTAATATATGAAAATAATTGGAAACTTATTCTATTTTTTTACTATGTAAAAATTGCAAAATATTTTTATTTATATTCGATTATCAAAAATAGAGACTAGATGTCGTGTCCAACCTGTGTATCTCCGTCTCACTTACTCCTTTATTTTTTAGTATATACTTCTCCTTTTAATTTTTTGTGTGATGATTAATACACATTTAATAATTGTTCCACTTGCTTTATATATGTGGATAAAAAGTTTGAACCCGGCTTTGTAGATTTAGCCAATGTTTCCACATGATTTTGTCTAACAGAGGAAAAAAACATATACATAAATTTAAAACACCATTAATACATAAAATTGATCGTTTCATTATCAATACTTACACATTGGATCCCAATAAGCTAATGCTTTTAAAATCCTCTGGATGAATTTTTGTGAAAAAATTTAATTTGATCGATAATCGAATAATTGTATTCATATGCTGTGATCTAAGTACGAATGATATTCTAAAAAAAATAGTCATTATACAATAAAGTTTTTTTAGTAATAAAAATAAATTGATAAAGCAAATTACTCACCTATTATCGTCTAAAATATCTATCACATATTTTCGATTAAGTTTCTCAAAATCATCATAAAAATCATAAATTACTTTAATTTCATTAGTAACACGCTGAATAAGTTTTGGAATATCTTCATATGTTTTATATTCTTCTACCAGAGATTGAGTATTAATTCTTTGAATAATTAAATTATCAATTATTTTAAATATAATGCGCTCTTCATCATTTAACCTTGAAATAATACGCACATTTGTTATTCGTTCGTATTCATTACTGGTATCTGGCACGTTTAATTTGATTAACAAACGAATAGCAGTTTTGTAATATTCAATACAAATAATTTCTGGATTTATATCAGAAATTTTCCAAATGCATTCATCATTCTTTGCATACATTCTAAGCCCTTCGTTCAAAATTTCGTAAGGGCTTTTATCATTATTTGTATCTGTTATAAGTTCATCTGCATTTTTTAATGGTTTGTCTTCTTCAGTTTTATTAGTAGTACTCATACCTAACGTAACCATATATTTCATTCTGGTTTTGAGTTCTGCAAATTCTTTTGCAGTTTGTACAATGTTTTTAATAATAGTATCATTTTCTGAAATGACCGATTTATCTTCATGTTTTTTTAATTTTTTAATTACATCTTTTACATGTTCTTCCTCTCTTTTCTTCGATACTGTATTAACACTAATTAGTTGGTTATCATTTACATGACTTTCGTTATCAGCATTCAGTAAATTTATTTGAATGGATGTTCTACAAATTGACTGCTCTTTGGTAATTTCACAATCATCCATTTTGTTACCACTTTTTTCATACTCTTTTCTATTTAAATTTGTGACAGCGTTTATTTTATTAACTGTATCAAAAACTTCATTATCACCATTAAATTGATTGATTATTCTCTTTTCTGTTGATTCAACTTCACTGTGAGTAGTTGATCTAACAATGTCGTTAAAATTATCATGTTTTTTCACAACAAATGTAGCTCTTCTATTCATTTTTTCTTCTTTTTTTTCGTCGAGTACTTGACAATTGATTTTTTTAATGTCATCTTTTTTCTCATGAATATTAGAGATTTCTTGTTCCGGTAGTGTATGAGTAAGTTGTTTTATTTTAAGACTTTTTGTATTAATTGAAGTGCATACTTCAGTCATACTAAGTTCTGGCACAGGAGGTTCATCAAATAATTCGTTTTCTTCTTCTTTTTTTGAATATTGGTCTGACAAGTTTTGATCATACATGAATGATGGTGCTTCTTCGAATTCCAAAAAAGTTTTCTCAATTTCTTTCTGTTGTTGAATCGGTCTGGTTAAATCATATGTTATATCATCTTCTATTTGTGCATTATTGGCATGATTACTTTGAAATCGACCTTTTTCAACGGATACATCTTGTTGTTTTGACAAAATAGGAGTTTCTTTCACAACTGTATGGAATACTTGTAATAAATTAGGAACTTCTGATATATTATTGCAACTGGGATTGGATGAAGTTGATTCAATAACTTTAGATTGTTTGATTGTATTTTTATTTGTCTGTTGTAAAGATTTTGTTATTGCAGAGAACCGATTTTCCTTCAATAAATCATTTTCTTTGAATGTCAGTAAAGTATCTTTGTTATTTAATGGTTTATTTGGCTCTTCAATTTGAACAACTAGATTCAAATTAATTGGATCTACTTGTTCTATTAGATTTGGAGTTTTGACAGGAGAAGTACAATCAGCATTTGGAGTTTCATCCCCATATACTTTCTTTTGTTGGATGGGTGGAATTACTTCTATCGTTTTCGTAACATCAGTATCATCGGAAGTAAGTTGTCGGTTAGATATGACATTTGTCGCGGAAGTACAGTTATCTTGCAATAATTCTGTCTGTGATAAAGAATTAATTTTATTGCAATCTTGATGTAATAATTGATGAAGTTTTTTGAGATTTTCTTCAAAGATAGTTTTGTTCTGTTCAGGTATTGTAGAATAGCGAGGATTTTTTACAATCGGTGTCGATAATTCTGATGATGATTTATCAACATTTTCAATTAAATTGTACGGTCGTTTGATAGACTGAATTGCTTCTGTAAACTCCATAAAATTATTATGGTCATTTTCATCATGTAGAGTTACATTTGTAGGGCATTCGATATTCGTTGTATTTTTCGGTAATGTAGGAATGGAATTTTCATTTAAATTGATTTGGTTCATAGTACATTTTAATGGAGTGATAGCTTCAGTCATTTCCATAGATTGATTATGAAACACTCTGGTTTTATTTTTATTGTCATCACTGCTAGAAAGAGATTTAATGTATGATACAGCTTTTGTTATTTCCATGGATTTATCATGAAAGAATTGTGTTTTCTCCTCATCTTTAGATTTAGAGTTTATAAAACATTTCATGTTCGATATGGCTTCAGTCATTTCCATAGATTTATCATGAAATACTGTTGTCCTTTCATCATTTATAGCACTAGATTTGGACAATGGAAATTTAACGAATGGAATAACTCCAGTCATTTCGAATGAATCATCATGGATAACTTCAGTGTTTCCTAGAGTAAAACAGTTGGGCACAGTAGAGAATTTCGTACTTAATACTGCTTCAGTCATTTCCATAGAGTTATTATGAAAAATAGTTGTTTTTTCATTATTTAAGGGGTTAGATACAGTGGGAAATTTTATATTTGATACTACTTTAGTCATTTCCATAGAATTATTATGAAAAACAGTTGTTTTTTCATTATTCAAGGGGTTAGATACAGCAGAACATTGCACATTTGAAAAAGCTTCCTTCCTTTCCATTGAATTATCAGGAGAAATTTCATTATCTATTTGAAGGTAATTGGGTTTAATATGTAAAAATTTTACATTAGATAGAGCTTCTGTCATTTCCATAGACTTATTATGAAAAATTTTTGTTTTATCATTATCTAAATAGTTGGATGACAAAGGGTATTTCATTTGTGATATAACTTCTGTCATTGCCATAGATTTATTTTGAAAATATTGTGTTGCTTCATCGTTAACTCGGTTGGACTCGACCATACATTTTACACTTGGTATAGCTTCTGTTATTTCCATTGATGCATTGTGAAAGAATTGTGTTTTTTCTTCATTAATAGCACTCGGTTTTAGAGAAAATCTAGTACTTGGTATAGCCTCAGTGATTTCCATTGATTTATCATGAAACATTTGTGTCTTTTCTGTGGGCATAGTTGTCTTTTCAAGATCTCCATTATTACTAAATGCATCATTCTTGCAATAGTTTGGTTCATATTTATCTACATTACATTCAGGAGAAGAATTTCCAGCTAACATTGTACATTCCATAGAAACATTTTCATAATTACTGCAATTCAAATGATCTACATTATTTTTTTCTATTTCATCATCACAGTAAACTGAAAACTTTGGATATGGACTGGCATTTAATGATCTTTGTGTACAAGTCACAATTTCTTCATCTTCAACTAAAGAACTGTCTGCTGTAGATAATTTTAAAATTTCCGGAATATTTTCTTTATTTATGAGAAAATCAGAACTCTTTAATATCGTGGATTGTCTAATTTTATTTGAATCATTAATGATTCCCAGAGGTAACGAATCATAATCAATCGCATTCTGACGTACCAATTTAGGTGTCGATCGTGGAAATGATTTATTTGTAACTGTAATTGAAGAATGGATTTCCACATTAGATGAAATTTGTACTTTATAGCCATTAGTATTAGATAATTGAGAAACTTCTGTAAATTTGTCTGATTGATTTGTCTTCATTTGGCTTGAATCACTTTCTTCATAAGTGTTATCCCACACAGTTCCTTGTTCAATTGAATCACAAAATTCTCTAAAAAAATGAATTTAATCAATTATTTTGTGAAATAAAGAATACTCAATAAAGAATTCATAAAATAATTTTACTTGACATGTTTTTTCTCTGCAAAGCTAACTCTTCTCTTAAGTTTAGTTGTGACAGTCGGACTATCATCGGTTGTAGAAGTATTTGAATCCCCTCCTTGTGTTAACGATGTACGAGATTTTGGAATTTTCAAAATCTACAAATAAGTCATACTAGAGATTGTAATAATACAAAATGTAAAATTGAAAAATGTGTTATAAATAAATAATTTTTACCGATGATCGTCGTGAACTTTTTGATTGTTGTGCTGGTATCCTAAAAAATAAGCATTAGTTAAAAGATTATTCAAATTTTTAAAATATAAAAGAAACATTATTTTGCATAATAAAAAGAGCGCCCGATAAAGGTTATGTTTACAGTTCGTATTAATGTTTTTATTTTTGATGCAATTCATTTTGATAAATAATAAAATAGTTATCATTTTTTATAGATAAAATTAAAAAAACCTGAAAACATTCCATTATTTCAGATAAATATTGAAAATATAAATTCACTATCATAGTAAACAAACAAAATTATACACTGAACTGATGTTCAATTTTATATTTAAATAGTAAAACAAACGATCACTTTGATTAATTGGATTGCCTAATTATCCGATAATATTTCCATTTAGAAACTTATTAAAAAAATACACATTGCACTCACATTTTATTGTTAATAAGTTGGAATTTAAACGGTTGTCTTTCTAATGTTTATTGTTGTTGGAAAGAACTCCAACGGTTCCCGTTGAAAAAAAATTACATTGAAAGCAGCGCCAAGTAGTCGGCTTACGGTACTAATCATTTGTGTGCCGCGAATTTTGGGCTTTGTAGTATCCTATAGGTTGAATGTTTACTTTTTGTCTATGCTCGAAATTATTTGTTTCCAATAATAAAATTCTACTTTACCAATGGTATCTTTGTTATCAAATATACGAAGAAATATATGAATGCATAGTAATATGCATTGACAGTTGAGTTTAAATCATGGTTGTTTGTTTAGCAAATGAATGAATTTACAGTCTCTATTCGATACAATGACGTCATAATATACGTATTACTTAACTTTTCTTACTTGACAGCAGTACTTCATGTGGAGGAGTTACAAGGAATAAAGAATTTTTAGCGTAATTATAGTTATTGTGAGGGTATAGTTTTAAAACAAAACATGCCAAATTTATCAAATGTGACTCACATTACTCTAAAGGTATAGAGTTATTTACTGCTGGTTTATAATTAATTATTTTTTTAAGGTTATAATATCTTGGAGTAAATAAAATTATGTATTTTTAAATAATCCAGTCGAAATATCTGGTAAACATTTTTTCATCGACATTTCAATATTATGAAATGTTTACTTATTTTTATACATTTTATAAAAGATAAGTTGTATTTGTAAATATTTTTTTTCATTACATTTATTATTTTACCCATTATTTTAACATGTAAGTATCTAATTAATTGTATTTTTTATCATCTCTTTATTCTGTTTCTTCGCTAGATTCTTTAATTATTTAATTTAATATAATATTCAACATACTTTTTAATTATAAAGCTTGTTACTTCTATAAATTTTATCTTTTCTATGAACTTTTGTGGGAATACTAATTTTTATTGTTTTTTCAGGCGATCTTCACCATTCACTTGGTATTGACAGTATGGTAATATTTATTTCATATGTATTTACATTATTGAATTTAAGTATAAATAGTAATATTATGAATACATAATATTATATAACTTTTCGATTCAGAAATATTAACATTAATCTATATTTATCTTGAATTTATTCCATTGTTATAATAAATATTCTATTCATTAATAATTTGATAATAAAGACAATTTATTAAAACAGGGGTATACAAGGACGGTGGTGTCCACAATCAGCAATGTTCTACAACCTTCTCTTCTTTGGTTGTTTACTATGGTCAATTCACAATACGGAATCAGATGAACCACTACAATTTGTAAATAAATTTTTGAATCACATGTATATCTTTATTTTACCATTTATAATTCATTTATTTTCAGGCTTTAATTGTGAATGTTTTTTCATTGTTATTCGATACAATCACACTGGCAGTTTATTTCGATAGTCACTGTAAGTATAAATACATCCTTATTGTAAATTTTGATAATTGTCTAGGTTGAAAAAAAAAAAATCAAACGAAAATAAGTAAAGATAAAAGGAAAAGTTGTGGTTATTATTATCTCTTAGCCATACCGCAGAAAATGTATCTGTCTGATCCTACTAACTTATAGATGCATCAGGCACGTTCAGTGGCATATTTATGATTGCAAATTTGATTGCTCGATTGGTATCATCCAAATATTTATTGAAGATTGGTCAAGAGCGAGGCGGAACTTTGGCGTCTGTGTTTCCTTCTGGCAATAGTATGGTTTTAAACTTTTTTTTATGCACTTAAATATCCTTAACTGCTCTCAGTATGGTAATATTTGTAGATCTTGGAAGGCAAGAATATGAAGATATATCTTATCCAGTACCTGAAAACAATGATTTTACTGGAATCTGAAGGATATTTAAAACTTCAGGAAATGAAGATTTTATAATTTATAACTACTATAATTAAAACTTCTTTTTGTTTACAAATGTGTATAATAATACAATAATGCACATTTTTGAATGCGTATTACTTTCGGTCATAAAGTTTTATTCATTTCTTACACTTGCAATATATACATTAATAGACTAATGAAAATCAGTGTGATAGTAAATTATCTTTAAATTATGTAAGCGGCACTAAAACTGTAATACTCGTTTTATCGTCTAGTTAAAAGTTTTTTCTAAATATTTTACAATTTTTTATTGTTATATTTAATTATCATGATTACAATCAAATTGTACCAAATATAATAAATAAATAATATATGTAATGTACTGATAAACAACTTTGTTAATGATTGGTAAGGTATCATAGACTTAGAAAAGTTAATAAATAAAAATTGCAAATACTTTAGTATAACTTTTTACTGTATGTAATTGAGTTATTCTTCTATCAGTTTAAAATCAATTACCCGAATGAAATAAATTCTAATAATTGTTTAAAAATTTCGCGGGTTTTTATGCAATTGTTAAATTTGATGGCGCTAGTTTGGCAAAATGAAAATATTCTCATCGTTGATCTGGCAAATTCAGTAGTGTGCGTGACGTCTTGAGTGCGGGGTGGCTCCGCGTGTGGCCGCACTAAGAAACCGACAGTTCGGAAACATGGCGGCCAGCGACGACGAGCCGATGCATCTCTACGAAGTTTTTCAAAACTGCTTCAATAAAATCGCCAACAAACAACCCGGTGAGTGATATCAAGCATGCATAAGTGTATCAACGATTCATCAGATTTAGTGTAATATCACAGTAATACTTCTGTGTATTTTTTTAAAACAATTTTTATCAAGCGTGTATGTGCTTCGAGTTTTACAATTTGTCTCTGCTGAGCAACAGTCGATTAATCATCTTTTAGTATTTTAGTATTTTTCTGTTCTTTTTTAATAAAATATTTATTCATTCAATTACCAATTAATTGCTGTAAAAATTCTTCTTCTGACAAAGCGAATTAATTACCAGAAATGTTTTTTCTCGGCCATCAGCACGACCTGTGTTTTGGTTCTTACTTGTCAATGTGCTGGATGGTGCTGCCTCTATGGTTACTTTTTATATCTCTATTTAGGCAAATTTCTACCCCCTTTACACAATTGTTATAGGGTTATCTTTTCTTAAAACAAATTATATAATTTATTGCATTAAATCAAGTTGTTTCTATAAAATAATTAAATATGTGTTTTAATAATTCAATAAAAATACATATTCCACAATAATACAATTAAGTGACAATTAATTTGAGAAGTATATTTAAAGTGATAATATTAATTTATTTGTAGTTATTTAATGACAGTAACACTTATTATTTCTTATTAACATTTGACACTGTTTATAATGTTCTTTTCTCTTACATATAAAAAGAAAATCATAACAAATAATGTAAAATCATGAATGAAAGTATTTTGGATCAAAAAGTATAGTATTGACGATACAAATACTATGTTTGATGTTGCTGGATTGCTTACACCTGCCGGTAAGATGAAAATTTTGTGGTATATGGATGGTGCATCACGCTGCATTGCAGAGTTTCTCATTCTTATTACATATGCTCATGCTTTGACTCAAATAACCGTGAGCCACGAATTACATTTTAATTAAATTTAGGATATTTTTTCTATCAACATTATCTTACTTGTTTCTAGATAATTCAAACCAACTTCAGTATTTTCCAATCACATTCAATTTAAATTTTAAATAAGTTTATACTTTTTTGTGATTCCACCATTAAGTGTGACATATTATTATTTATAATCTTACTCAATTATCAAGCAACTGGAATTTTTATTGAGCATAATTTTCTTGGTCAGATTAAAAAAAACTTTATATTGAGAATACAGCTTTCGTCTGTATAATAAGAGTTAATCATAATTAAATTAATAATTGATTAATTAATTACCTTCAAAACGTCGTTCCATTCATGCGCTACATATTTTACATCGTCAATTACCCATAGGATTTATATATTCTTTAGCATTCAATTCAACCACTTGAGCTGATTGTGACTTTGCGCCTGTGTCGCTGTTGAGTATCGTTCAGAACAATTTAAATCACATGTCAAGTACATAATTAATCGACAAAATTAACCCTAGGTCGTTTGTACAACGCTTTTTCTCCACGATGCTTTTTATCTACCACTTAGATTTTACTGATTTATTTTTATTTCTCTTCCAGAATATTAAAATACTTTTTTTTCAACTAGAACGATAAAAGTATCAAAAACACCAGAATCTAATCACTATTCATGAATTAAGATGACGTTTTCAAGTGTGGGATACCCTAAAATAGAATAGATTTTTTATCCAGTCTTTCTAAAAATATCCATCAGTGAGTGTACGAATATTCTATTCATGGGGTAGTAGTGGTTGCTTTTTGAAATAGAAGGTGAAATCTTGGTCGATCTTGTCGACAGGTGTTACAGTGGCGGGTTTATAAAAACCTCCGCATGATTATTCGACATTTTTATCTCCTCTTTTATACTACAAATATTTTTCAAAACGAAACCTGTAAATGTTATCCATTATTTTTTTATTTATTTCATTTTTAAGTTATTTAAATTATTATTGTCTTACGATAGTTATCTTTGGTGATTATCTTTATACGGAGAATAACTGTGAATTTGACCATCTGGTCCTTGATTTTTTTAAGTCATTTCTTTCAAGGATTGGGACTAGATATTTTTCTCATTATTTCTATTAGATTTTCGATATGGTTTTTAAAAGTAACTACGGTGACTATAAACGAAGTCCAGACACAACACTCGTGACTTGGGCCTTTTCGTTCTCCTGAAGAATAACCAAGGGAGTGTCACCGTGATGCACCTGCCTCATGCCCTCTCTTTCTTTTTCTTCTCCTCTTATCCACTCGCTTACTCCTCACACGCGCCTCGCACACGTCCTCGGAATTATAATGACTGTTGTCGAAAAAAATTGGTATATTTAGCGCCTACCACATAACGGAATTTTCCGCCATTAATGAATTCTTTGCATTATTAGATTTTTCGGAAGTAAATTTTCTCTTACAATTATTTGGTATGTATTTCATGCTTAATATTGTTGCAAAATGTATTTTTTTACAACACAATATGAGAGCATCTGCTCTCGTTGGAGTGATCCACTTTCTCTACTGATCACATTCATTTTTGCGAATCTTGAATTCAATTATCTTTATTTTTTAATTAAGCTTTGTATAAAAAAGTAATTTGAATACACATGTTTTATGCCATGGAAAATAATCAAACATGATGAGACAAATAACGGAGTAATATTTAAATTCATCTCTTAAACATTGTAAAAACTTTTGATTTTCACTTTACTTTTAGATTTTTGTTATACTTCACATTGAAGATATTCATAATAAAAGAAAGAACGACTATAATAGAAAAAAGATGTTATAATAGAAATCATAAGTCTCTTTCTGAAAGTCTTTTTATTAAAAGAAAAAAAAGTAAATGCTTAGTATTTTTTAAATACATCTTAAACTAATATTTTTTTTTATCGAAATTCTATCTTTAAAGCCGATAAAAGTTGATGACCATAATTCCGTATACTTTTACAACGAATCCATATATTGTCACCAAAAATCATATCTCCTCTGCATCAGTTTTATATGCCACCTCGATGTAGGACCATATATCCACACACATCCCCTTGGCATTGGCGTAGTATTAACCGTTCTTAACTCAATATAATTTTTTATTTTTTTCATTAATGTTTATTTGCTCTTGACTACTCAAATCACTGTTTTCACACCCAATAAATGTTTTTATTATCACGTGTATCTGTTTATAGTTTGATTTGAGTAAAAGCATATGGATATACGGGATTTAACACCTGTGGGAGTGCATCAGGTCGTGGACAGAAGCGGGCCAATACACCCTGGTACGACCTGCCTTTGGAAATAGACATCTGGCCAGATTTCGAGTCTGGCCCGCATGTTAACAAACGTTCAACACAACCCCCAGTGTATATTGGACTGAGTAGTTTGCAAAGCTATTGGCCTGGCGCCGTTCATTTTTTGGCAGGTGTCACTGTTTTGACGTCACTTGTTTCTTGTACCACTTCTTTTTTTATTCTTTGACAAATTAAATTACATTCCTTTTTATGATCCAACATCACCAACGAACTATTTACCTTCACTATCGACATTTTCAAGCACAATACTTTATTAATCGAAAAGAATTTAATTCTTCAATATTAGAATTTCCATTTGAAAAGCCTTTTTTCGGTATTCTTCAATGTTTATATATTTTCCAAAAATAAACATCACGTGAAATTAAGACTATGAATCACCTGTTGATATTTGTATGAACTCAACAAGACTGAAAATATGATCAAGGATAATAGAAAAAATTTACAAAGAATTTAATTATTGAAAGGAAACAGTTATCAATAATTATTATTCCGATAATTAAGTATTGCATAATATTTAATGTATTCAACTTTGACACTCGTGACAATTCGTAATTTATTTCCAAGTTCCCAACCCTAGTTTTGATCTTAGTCTTCTCTGATATCATCGAACTCTACGGATATCAACAATACTTTTGAATAATGACATCAACATGTGGTTTGTTTCAATCATTTATCATTCGCCGAAATTTCATTTACTTCACGATAGAGTTGATATGTTAAAGAATTCATAATAATTACCATCACGTAAATATTGTAAATGAAATGCATACTAATAAGTATGGCTCTTGGAGATGTATAAATAATATGTATAATTACGGATGTAAAAATATAAAAATATGAAAAGTATCCTGTTAAAACATAGGGGGAGGTAAACCGCGAGGAAAGCTAAGGTGGGGAGTGAAGACGAACAGACACGTGCGGGTCACGTGCCCCGGCACGCGTTTGCGTTTTGCGCTAACAGCTACTATACCCTGGATCAACTGTCGTTACACCTTCCCACTAAGTAAGCAATGAATTATGTAATTCTTAAATGGATTAAAAAATTTCAACCCTCACTAAACGTTCATTACTGACGCTAGTGTTTATTGATTGCATCATCATTTAGAGCAAACCTACTTCACAGTTTAAAATTCGATCTTGTTATTTCATGTTATTGGCATATCCTTTGAAAATTTACATGTAAATTTCCTGCCATTTAGAAAGCGATAGTTATCGGTATTTATTCAAATACAATCGAGTACATAAAGAGTGT